TATTTCTAAAGTGCTTTTCAAACAAAGTGTGATTCAAAGTGCTTTACAAAATGACCCCAGATTCCCATAACAGGTTAAAAACATTAACAAACATATGCAAGCACACGCACACACACACACACACAAGTAAAAATTTTATTAGGCTGAGTTCAGATGAGCCAAGTAAGGTAACGCAAGGAAACGCCATCAGAGGAGCCGTCTGTCCCGGCAGCATCAGGTCTTCCACACTAAGTCAGGGCGCTCATTGGAGGGGGAGCATAGGCCTCCACCTATAGAGCGCCCAGGAAGCTACAGTCGACCACCGCTCCCGGGGCAGAGGGCCCCTACAGAGGAAACACTGGATTAAAATGAGTAAAAATGTAATAAAAGAGCTAATATAAATGACAAAAATTAGAAAATAAGTAATAAATAAAATGATATAAACAGTAAAATAATAATTTAAATAATAAAACTGTGCTAAAATATAATCATATAGAACATGCAAAGCAAGTAATAAAATATAATCATGTAAAACGAGAAATAAAACTGTAGAAAATATGTCACGATGTTGTTGTGGGCATAGCGATGGGTACGGAATTCGGTACTTTTTAAGGTGCCAACTGAATTCCACAGTACCGACTGCGCACCGATCACGTCATTTGAAACGGTGCCTCGTTTCGGTACCTGTCCTTCATAACGAGAAGTTGCCTAGACAGCTGCGCATGCGCAAGAGCGTTATGTCGTCGGTCGCTTCAAGCCAGTTGTAAACAGAGCAGCATGGTAGAAAGAACGCACGCTAAAGCTTGGGTCCACTTCACTAAATGTGATGGGTAACTGGGTGATGATGAAACCAGCGACAACGATCTAAGTGAGACATCCTCATCTTAATCTGCTCCGGTAGGTAAATAAAATGTTTAAGATAACGTTAGCTTGATTTGTTAGCTTCCGTTTATCTAATGGTGCGTTCGCTTTCTCCTCGGAACTCCGAATTTCCAACTAGAAGAACATGAACGCGCTCTAAAGTTTGGCTTCACTTTACTAAATGCGCCGGGTGAATGGGTGAAGATGAAACCAGCGACAACGATCTAAGTGTGAGGCATCATCGTTTTAATCTGCTCCAGCAGTTAAATAAAATGTTTAAGATAACGTTAGCTTGATATGTTAGCTTCCATTGCCACCATTGTTATCAGCTAATGGTGCGTTCGCTTTCTCCTCGGAAATTCTAACTTCCCAGTAGGAAAAATCAAATGAAAAAGGACGGCAAAAGGAATGAAGATACACAGTAAATTTAGTTCACAGTAAAGATGTTTGCTTCAGTTTAATTATCGGCTTATAAAACTACAAGGACGATGTTAAAATACAAACAGTTGTATGTTATTTATCGTGATATTTATCAAATATGGTTATATATTGAGAAATATATATATGTTTTATTATAAAAGAGAATTAAAATATTAAACACGCAAAAGTACCTAAAATTGGTACCGTTAAGTACCGTTATCGATTCCTAGGTACCAGGAATTAGTACCGAATCGATTCAAATGTCAAAGGTACCCATCCCTATGTGGGCATCTGCATTAATGTAGTTGTTAGTGGCTCCGCCCTCTCGGTCTGACATCACGTTTAATGCATGCAAACACTCACCTGTTTACAAGTGTAAATAATTTATTAAAATAAGGCTGAATGACCTCATAAAACAATGGAAACTAAAATAAAAATTGTAAACTCTGTTGCAAACTCTGCCACATTCTAATTAGAAAAGATTTGTTTTATTAAAATCCAAACGCTTTTATTTGCACCTATTAATTTTTTTCATCAACCCGAGTTTTCCAGCCCCATCCATCTTTTAATTACAAATATTGCAAATGACTTCATTTTCTCCTTTAGGATGGTTCTATAGTATTGAACGTGGACTCTGGAGGAACTGGAAGGCACCTGATGGCGAGCCTTTAGGTATCTAATGCAATTCTGCATCAAAAACAAAATGTTTCTCTAAAACCACTAATATGTACTATATTTAACCCTTAATGTGTCTCATTTACGGATGCATCGATACCACTTTTTTCCAAACCGATACAATAACGATACTTGGATCTGAGTACTCGCCGATGCCGATCACTGACACCGATACTTCTACCACACAAAAAATGCAATGAATTGGAATACCGGTTTTATTTTCTTCTCTGTTTTCAACAGGAAAATACTTCGAGGTAGATAAAAACTTTAATATATGAATAGAAATGATCACAGAACTTAAATATTAGGTTAACAGAAATGACAAGTTACAGTGAAGCCTCTTTCAGGCAACTGCATTGTAATTTTTACCGACACTGATGTGCATCCCTAGTTGCATAATTTAGAATAGTCATCCGCTCTGCAGCAACGGGTGCACCAATAACGTCTGAGTTCATAAATAACATCAGAAACACAAATACAATAAACAGAGAACTTTGGGTGAACAGAAAGTATGCTTCAGCTATCGTTTTTGTAGAATTAAAGTTCTCCAGCGTTATGTTTTCTTCCACACCGTCTGCTGTGCCCTCATCCTGCTCCATGACCTGAGGTGAAGGACGACACAACAGCATCAGCAGGTGATGCAGAGAGAGAGAGAAGACCACCGTGACTCGCAGCGGTGAACAAAGACATCGAAGTCTTGAAACGTCAAAGAGTAGGATGCAAACTGTCACGTCGTTGTGATATTAAAACAATTTGAAAGGTGATGTCAAATGCAGAAAACTAATACTGTTTAATTTTACCAAACCTGTAGAACAGTGAAGATCTCTGCTAACAATTAAAAATAAAACAGCTAAAGACAAACATTCATTTTCTTATTTAAAAAACTAATAAAAATAAGGGAATTTAATGAGAAACGTTTTCTTTCCTTATTGAGCATGTAAATCAATAGACAACCCAAAGCATTCAAAAAGTATTCGGAAAGAAACCCATACATATGTGTATATATATATATATATATATATATATATATATATATATATATATATATATATATATATATGTAGAACATGTTCAATAGGAAGGGAACAAAGCTCTGGTAGTTTATATAACCCCCCCAAATCAAATTTCAAGAAAGATAAAACAAAAAATATATATATATTTTCCCTACACTGAGTGTCATAGCCATTTTCTTATAACATGTTTTATCCTCAATCACACAAACAAAATTTACATTTTTTTATGTTTCAAGCCCCCCCCCCCCCCCCCCCAATATTCACAGCTCTCAGTTCACCAACAATAGACAATTACAATCAAATGCAACACCCTTACAACTTTTCCTCCTCCTCCATGTAATTAATTAGTATAATTTCTTATACTTCTCTTTAAACTTATGCAATGAGGGACTTTGCTTTAGATCCTCACGTAGCTTATACCAAACTCTTACACCTGTAGCAGAAATACAAAATGACTTTAATGTTGTTCTAAAATATGCATGCCTTAAGTTAAGTTTGCATCTGAAATTATATAGGTTATCTGGTTTTATAAATAGCATTAATAATTTGTTTGGTAATAATTTCCTATGCACTTTAAACATGAATGTTGCTGTATATAGTTGAAGTAAATCTTTAAATTTTAGTATTTTAGAATATATAAATAACGGATTAGTGTGTTCTCTAAATCTAACATTGTGAACGACTCTCAGGGCTCTTTTCTGTACGATAGACAAGGGTACAATAGATGTTTTATAAGTGTTACCTCACACCTCTACACAGTAAATAAGATAGGGATAAATCAATGAATAATAAAGGACATGGAGTGATTTATAATCCAAGTACTGCCGATCTTTATTCATAATATAGATGCTTTCCGCAACCTTATTATATACATGTTTAATTTGTGGTTTCCAACTTAATTTACTATCAATTATTATTCCAATAAACTTCACTCTTATTAGAGAAATAGCTATCGGTAACAGGGATGATTTTACATGTTAATAACTTGTCTAAAATATCCCCTTCAAAAGACCCAAACTATCAGTTTAAACACAGACAAACCTGTAAATGTTGGATCACATCCTCATTTAACAAGTGACTGAATACCTGTTACACATTTATTGCTCTGGTTAATATTTCGTACTGAACTTGTGAAGGCACTTTGTCAGGATAGAAATCTAAACAAATGTTGTTATGATGTCTGTTTTTTCACCATGTTCAGTGCCTTGGACTTTCGTTAAGGTGCTATTCAGAGAAAAGTTGTTTCTCAGCTGGCGAGGGAACTGGAGGGGCAGGTCCTTTGAGTAGTTTATAAATTCGTTATAAAATATAAACACATAAACAAAATGTGTACCTTTGTTAAATTATTACATTTCTGTATCAATTTCTGTGTGTGTTTATTCAAATTCAAAAATATTTTATTAATCCCAGAGGGAAATTGATTAAATTATTAGAAAAATTATTAGATGAACTTGATTATTTAATGGTCTTTGAACTAATAGTTTTATAACTGAAATGTTTGATTAGAAATTATTCTGGTAAATATTTTTTTAAACTAATTATAGTTATTTGTTGTTTCCTGTCAATAAAATCCATCAAGTACACGGTGGATGCAGTTTCAGCCAAGGGGCCGCCAGGGGGCGCATGAATTGAAGAAGTTTACGCAAATATAATTTATTTTAAAGGGCAAGACATTTAAATATATTTTGGTTGTAAGCATTGTCTTTTTCATGTGCATTTTTAAAACTAGAAATTCTATCCTTTCCAATACAACAGCAGAAAGATTCCCAAAGGAACAACCAATATGCACCAAAGCGTGATAAGAAAACATTAAACTAACTTTTTAAAAGGACTTAAATAGCTTTGAGTTTAGGTAGGAGTCATTCAGAGTGTTTATTCAGGCTACAGTTATGTATGGATGTAAACCATGGACTTATGTAAACCCGATTCACGCATTAAAAACATATTATTCCATATTTGCGTTTTAGAAAATGAATTTTCTAAATTACACGGGCGAAAATAACATCTACATTCCGTCTATATTTACAACGCATTTTATTCAATAAAAAACAAAAAATAAAAAAATGCGTTTTGGAAAGTTTTAATTGGAGTTCCGGGGCTCACGAGACCCGTCCTACTGAGTTGCTAGTTCTGCGCATACGCGGAAAAGCGAAAGGGTTCTCGTCGTACGGAACATGGGGTTTTACTACTCTTTAAAGTAAAAACAGCATTTAACATACCACAAAAACACGAATAACGAGTCAGTGAGTTGTTAGCTCCGCTCAGACAAGTAAGTCCAGTTCTGTCCGCGTCTGTGGACTTCACTTTGACTCCCTCCAGGTAAGCTCATTCTTGTTTACATGATTAGCAAACTTGGTGTAACTCCAGACACAGTTTTTGTTTTTCTGTCCTAAAATATCTGACTTGTTAGCACTCCGCAGTAAGTTTTTGTGTGACTTCCTGACTCTGGTGAGTGTTTAGATTTAATCTTTACTACATCCGCTTGTTGTGTTTACTGATTTGGTCAAAAACTAACAGCTGTGTGAGTTAAAACCTGCCTTCTCGTTCCTTTGGAAAGGCTGAAATCTCGCCAGTTAGCCCCTCTGTTATGTGGATAGCTTTGATTTTCAGCTTTTATAAATAACAATAATTTAACTACTTATCAGCACTCTAATGATTTCATCTATTTACGAAAGTACTGGGCGTGAGACTAGTGTGGGTAATTTGTGTGTCAGACAGGAATTGTTACAGATTACTGAACAGAAACCGCCCTGTTTCTGCAACAGGCTTTTATTTATGCCTCCATCAAGAGATTTTCTGCTCAGTAAAAAATAAAACCCTCAGGTCTAATTCATAAAATTAAATGCTCTTAAACCACAAAACAGATTAGTGGGAACTGTACTCGTGTACAGGAATGTTTGCAAATTCCTCAAAAAGTAGGGATGCACCGATCAGGTTTTTTGCTGTCGATACCGATAACAAAGAATGCTGATCACCGATACCGATCACGTGGATTGGCCAGAAATTTTCTACAACATTATAATGAGTGCCACAAACTACATAATCTGGAAATAAAGGAAATGTAACCTAATCTAAAATGGTCTGTACTAGGGTCGTCACGGTGTGAAAATGTAAGCTCACGGTTATTGTGACCAAAATTATCACGGTTTTCTGTATTATCGCGGTATTTTTTAAAAACGTGTTACATTTTCACACAACTAAATAAACCCTGTATGTCAGGAAAATATTGTCCTCAGTTTGTGTCTAAATTTAGCCTAAAATGTGTTATTTTGTAATTATGTTGTTTATTTGTTTACATTTTTTCCCTTTAGTGTTTAAAATACCAATATTTGCCCATAACTTCTTATTTTATGTCTGTTTGATGTCATCATTTTAAAAATATTAGATCAGATGATACTCAGTACTCAAGTAGCCTTCTAATCAGATACTTTTTTACCCTTACTTGAGTAATAAACCCTATATCAGGAAAATATTGTCCTCGGTTTGTGTCCTTCCAGTGAGTGTTGCAGATGTGGGAAAATGTCATCAGGCAGTAATCGTTAAATTCATAATTATTCTCGGAGAGAGACCAACTCTTATCTGCCCCTGGGAGCCCCGTAATGCATAGCGTCATTTCAACATGGCGGTGTCCGCGACACGGTTTATATGCAGGTAGCGGCGCTGCGGCTGCTTTATATAGCGACTCGTTGCATTCTCCCTCAACCCAAATCCTCGGATCACGCATTTTAGCTAAAACGCTAACGTTAGCTTGCCTTGCGTTGACTGTAGAGTTGTGGGTGATGGTCACGCAGATGTGTCATGAGATTTGAAGCGTTGCTGCCTTTCACAGACACTTTTTCTGCACGTGCTGCAAACAGGATAGCCGTCTTCTATCAGCTGTCCCTCGGCATTCTTCAAATATCTAAAAAAATGCCCGTACTTCCCACTTTGTCTTCTTTGAGGGATAATAAATGTCCTGACTGAGTGCTGCCGTCTCCTCCTTTGACCATTATTTCAGCTTTAGCTTCAAGAAAGTTTTGGTTGTAAACAACAAAGTGCGCATGTGCCGCCGGCAACTTCAGCAGATGATACGGTGGCTGGTAAGGGTCACCGCGCCTACACCGCAGCCACGGTAATCCACCGAGATAATATAGTTTTTAAAAACAAGACGGTTATTATTATTGTCAACTTTTTTTACCGGGGTTTACCTCTACACCGGTTACCGTGACAACCCTACCTGATCGGTCTGCTTTGATCTATTTTGAAAACTCCGATCAAAACCGATAGGGGCGCTATCGGCCAATTGCGATCAAATGCCGATCCATCGGTGCATCCCTATCAAAAAATAAAATTTTATCTAACTTACTTTAGTGACGCTATTAATATATTTGTCTAATAACAAAATAATAAATGTATTAGGTACAAACCTACTCTTCACCAGAATTACACAGGGGTAAACATGATCAGTATATGAGGACATCAAGTTTTTCAAAGTTGATGGAAAATGACCTCTTTGACCTTTTCAGTGCATTCATTTGTACATTTAATGTCGTTTTCAATATTTAGAGTTCTTCACTTTCTCTTGTTACTTTTATTAAAATATTATTTTAACTTTCACTGTTATTAAGTGTTCAGCTCTCATAGTACAAAAAAACCTGATTTGTTTCTTCCATTTGGTGTGAAAAATGTGAAATTGCATAGTGCCAATTACTGCACAGTGACTTTTCACAAGTTGTTACCTAAATTATCAACGGGTTCTGCAGAGCTTGATGAGCTGCTGAACAGGTGATTCCACCACAGAACCAGGTGAGTTGGAGCAGGAAAACAACTAAAACATGCTGGAGCTCACGAGGACCAGGGCTGCTGACTCCTGATTTAAACTATAATGAAAAGAAACTGGATGTTTGGGCCCAATGGCACTATGGCAGGAACTCAACATCCACCCTTCCAACATAGCAGCATATAAACATGGACCCTGTCTCAAAACTGGACCGCTACAGGAATGAAGTGGTGAAGGTGTGTGTGTTGTTTTTTTTTTTTTCTTCAGCTGAAGCGTTTCTCAAGAGTGCATTTAGAGGGACATTATGGAAGTGTGACAGCCAAAGCATGAATAGAAATAATAAATGTCTTCTTCATACATTCTCCTGCAATGCCCTGGTCCTGTAGAATGAGCCCTGGCATTTTTACTGTGATTGCCTGTTTTTCTGTAAAATCACAGAAAAAGAGAGATGCTCGGGTCGAGCAGGCTGCTTCATGCGCGTTCACGCTCAGGCATCGCCCGTAGCATTTGCTATCCGTAGCTTTAGCAGCAGAGAGAGAGGCAGTGCCACTTTGTCGCTGTTCCTAACGCCTAGTGACAAAGCTAGCTACATTTCTGAGGACCCTTAGCTACTTTCTGTAGAACTTTCTTCTAGATATTTCCTGCTAATTAGCAACAAAACAGCCATTTTCACTCCGAACCGTTCTTTGGTTTGACGTTGTTTCAGCTGTCATCAAGGATATAAATGTTACAGATATAAAGGACGTCACTGGTGCTTTAGCTCACCTAGTATGATGTCTGACTCTCATGCAGAAGACCTGGGTTTGATTCTGGGTGTGAACATAAATTATTTAGAGTTTCTTTTTTACATTAATGGTATATTTTTTACAGTAAGATGCCCAAATTTTTATTTGAGACTCGCCGAACGGCATTGAATTCACAGATAAAAAAGATGTGGGTTCAACTTTCATTTTGGAACAATTTTTCAAGCAAGGGAAGGGAATGATCTGAGCATGCAGGAGGACTGACCCATCATAAACCTTTGTCGGCTGTGCTGAAGAGAAAGCTACAGAACCACATTATTTAATTAATTAGCTGCACGTCCTCCTGTCCTCTGTCCTCCGGACCACACACACACACACACACACACACACACACACACACACACACACACACACACACACACACACACACACCACACACACACACACACGGGACTGTCTCAGCTGTTATTTTCGTTAAGGAGTGTGCACGTACAGCATGCGCACCTCGTGCACGAGCCTGCTATTGAAGCTGCTGTTACGCTTTTGGCCTGAGGGGGCAATCACGAGCATAAAAATTCAAAAGTCCGTAAAGTCCCTTTAAAGTTTGATGTTTTTGTAGTGGTCAATTATCTATAGGTTTTACACAAAATCACTCAGATTTTGTTTTAAACCATCATTTCTACTAACTAACTTGATGATTATCATATAGATTTTTTTTATGTTTGGTCTCATTTAGAGCTAACACCTAATTTAGAAAAACATTTTGTATAATTCATTTAGGCAAGTTATTATAGTTCAGAAATATTTGTTTTACAAAATATCAGCTGACTTTGTTTAAAGATGAAAAAGGGTTTCAGTTTTACCCTCTGTGGTAAATGGCCTGTATTTGTGTAGAGCCTTCTTAGGGTTCTACAACCCCCCAAGGCTCTTTACAACTCTATCAATCATTCACACACACACATTCACATGCTGGTGATGATGAGCTACAATGTAGCCACAGCTGCCCTGGGGCACACTGACAGAGGCGAGTTCTGCCGAGCACTGGCGCCACCGGTCCCTCCGACCACCACCAGCAGGCACGGCGAGTATAAGCTTGGTTTATGCTTGACGCATTTACTTTCCGCGCGGTGATGCGGCTCGCGGATGGAACGCGCTTCACAACTCGCAGCATTTATGGTTTGTGCGGCTCGTCTCTGCGGTGAGCCAATATTCTCCCAAACTGTAGGGGGCAGCATGGAGCTCTACGGCATGCATCCAACACTACACCATAGTAGAAGTAAAAATGACTGTTTACAACATGGCATTCCAGCATTTTTAACAGCGTTCTCGTCTTTTCCGACAGTGCGAGCTATTTCTCTCCAAGAATTATTAACATGTTGATCACGGTGATCTCTGAGAGCTGAATCATACAAATGTCTGTATTTACCAACCTCTGCCTAACTAATTCTTGCCGGTCCGCCATGTTTTTCCGCTTCCATCCGTCTGCGTGGTTAGAAATTTTCCGAGGTGCGCGTTGCGGAAATCTTGGGCCATGCGGAGACGCGGTGGAGGGGCGTGGTTGTTAAAATGACGCAAAATGACGCAACTTTTCCGCGCAGAGCCGTGCGGACCTCGAGGACGCGTCAAGCATAAACCAACCTTAAGTGTCTTGCCCAAGGACACAACAGCAGCATTCTCTAGTTGAAGCCGGGATTTATTTTTAGTTTATTACAAAAGTTGCGTGAGATCTTTCACAAAACTCAGAGAGAAAGCCTTATGGTCGACCACTTTAATTGTCTGGTATATTTGCACCCAAACAAAAATAAATAACACATTAAAATTGTAATTATAACGTTAATAATCATAATGGTAACTTTTATTTCTGTGGTTCTCTGCAGACTTGTGTTCCAACTCCTGGGATGTCTTTCCCCTGGATCTCCCTGGTGGACCCAACCAGCAACACGTCCATCAGCTGCTTCAGCTCCAACCAGAGCACGGTCCTCTCCGGACTCGAGTTCGGAGGAATTCCAGTCGTCCTGCTGCTGAACTTCTGTGTTTTCATTGTATGTTTCTATCTGTCAACTTCACCTTCTCATTCCAGGTTTTGTTTTTTTTTGTTAAAAGTGACGACATAAAATATTTTCTTTTCTTTAACATCATTAGGATCAAGTTAGAGATTTAAAATCTTGTGACTAAATTAGAAACCCTGAAAGATGTTTTCTTAATCAATATTTTCTGTAATTTCCAACCAGGTTGCTTTAAATCTTTTGAAACTAGTTACATTAGGGCTGGGCGATACGGCCCCAAATTAATATCACGGTATTTTGGGGAGTTCACCTCGATAATGATAAATGGATAACTACCGTAAATCCTCTAATACAGGCCTAGGCCTTTATTTACTCCAGCGCATCCTGGTTCAGGCCTTTATTGGAAGGAGGCCAGAATTAGAGACAGACCTCAATTTCAATTTGAGCAAAATAAACTACTAGTAGAATGAATAAAAACAAGGTTTTGTGTCTGTTTGAATCTATGAAACACCAATTTCGTTTATTGAAGATATACAGTTGACATTGTACGTACGTATGCATATAGAACATTTACAACAAACACCATTATTTCGCTGGAGGGTTTACCCAACGCTGAAGCGATCAACATAACAAACTATCTCGTGTGGCAAATCTCATATTACACTACAAACCAAAAGCCTTTTATGAGTCTGAAAGCCTACAACTATTCCATTTCAGGTTGGTTAACGACGTAGAGATCAGGAGAAGCTTGAAATGACCGTTGTCTTGTTTATGCTTGTGAGATGTGCAATTTGAATTATGTAATAAACTTGTAATTACTGGTACATTTGTTTGATTTCATTAAGATATTAATGCCACGTTGTAACACTGAGCTAATTGCTAAAAACGTTAGCACTCCAAAAGCTATTTGTGGTGAGGACGTGAAAACAGTATCAAGCTGTTTACCTGCAGTGTTTCTAAGCCGTTTATAGCTGGATTTCCTACCCCCTTGACGGACCTTAAGCATGGATAGGCAGTCATTTGCATCGGAGAGGATAGCCATTAGCATGTCTTGGAGAGTCGATAGTCAGCTAGTGGCCAGCCTAGGCACGCTAATGGCTAGCCTCTCCATTGCTAACACCAGCCCGTCCAGGCTAACTCTAGCCTATCCATGCTATTATACAGCAGAGTGAGTGCTTGAACCAGTCAATGACCAGCCGAGGGCTGCTAGTTCCTAGCGTATCTAGTAGTAACGCCGGTAAAGGTGCCATTTCTCAGTAAGCAGCGCCAGCCTCTCAGTTACCGGTGCCAGCTTATCATTAATCAGATCAGTAGTTTGCTTCAGAATTTATATAGCCTCCTGCTGCTGGGCAGTAGTCTTAATTTTGGCCCCCATACCGCGCCATACCCATCCCCCTTCCCCGTGAACATACTGGTAATGTTGATGCCAGCTGAGATTAGAAACGGGCCTTTATTACACCGGCTAATGTAGGAGACCCGGCCGGTGATTGAATACAGGCCAATATTAGGCCTAGTCCACACATAGTCGGGTTTTTTTAAAAACGAATATCCGCCCCTCCAAAAACTCATCCACACCACCTCGTTTTAAAAACAAACTCTGTCCACACGTACCCGGATAAATACGTTGTTAAGGACATGCCAGACCTGTAGGTGGCAGTACTTCCCCCGTTCTTAACCTCATCCTTCGTCTGTGGTCTTCCGCAAGGAGCAGTAATTCCGCTTGCAAAAACAAACAAGCAAAAAGCGCTTGGACAATTGATAAAGCGAGCGCAGCTCTGAGGGCATCCATGCTGTCGGCTAGTGTAAACACAGGTCGCACACGTGATGTCAGCATGTTTTTGTAGCGGAAAGTGACGTTGCGGACCTTAAAACTCCGGTTTTGTCCGTCCACACGCAGACACCCAAAACGGAGAAAACGCAGATCTTCACTTTGGCCGGAGTTTTTAAAAAGATCCGTTTTCATGTGAAAAAACTCAGTTTTCGTGTGGATGACAGGCCAAAACGTAGAAAAATATCTACGTTTTGGCAGATCCCCGGCTACGTGTGGACAGGGCCTTAGAGGGCTGTCACATGTATTACGTCGAGTCACGTGGTCGTGTGACTCGAGGTGGTACAGCTTCGTAAAGTGACATGAACGTAGCCAACCTACACACATCTTTTCTTTTTTAATTATTGATTTTATTGACATGGGAAAACGATATTGATTAGAAACAGAAATTTCGATGATGATACATTTTCGATATATCGCCCAGCCCTAAGTTAAGGCTTTATTTATTCATTGTACAGAATCATGTCATACCTGCACTAAACCGCCTCTTTTCTTGAGTCTCGCAGGTGTTGCTGATCATTTTCTCGATTATCAGAAAGAAGTTCTGGGACTACGGTCGATTAGCTCTGGTTGCAGACAGTGATGGGTCAGTTTAAGAGATTTTACCTGCTTTACCCTACAAATGAAGTCACGGGAGTTTTGTAAACACACCAAATAGAATATAATAATTTAGTGATTTTAGCTTTTGTTTGATCGAATCTTTAAATCAGGTTCAACGAGTCAACGCACCGCCGCTACGGTCGTATGCCATCCACAGCGTCCAACGTGGATGACGCCGAGCACGAATCGGTACGTGCGGAAAACCTCACCTTCATCATCAGAAGCTTTTGTTTCTCCTCATCGTGTTTCTCTGTTTGTTCAGGGGTACTTCTCGTGGCTGTCCTACAGCGTCAGAATGGAGTGAGGGTTTATTTTATTGTAAATATGTTTTGTCACTCCTAGAATCCGAAATCTGATGGTGTATGTTTGTGTTGCAGCGAAGAGAAGATCAAACAGAAATGTGGCGTTGATGCGTTACACTACCTGTCCTTCCAGCGTCATCTGATCATCCTCTTGGTGGTCATCACTGTCCTTTCCCTCGGAGTCATCCTGCCGGTGAATCTGACTGGGAAACTGCTGAGTGGGTTTCTGTCACACTTCTCTCTCATCCAAAAACAGAGATCAGAGTTCTTTTATGAACAACTTGAACATCTTAGAGGAAAAAAAAACTTAATTTAGTTCCTGTTCTTGCAGGAAATGATCCTGTGAGTTTTGGACGGACAACAATTGGGAATCTGAGCACTGAGTAACTACCGTAATCCGTGATGTAAAGCTTAATTCTCTCTTAGAACAAAAGCATTTAGTTTATAAGGAAATGTTCCTGTCCAGGAACGACCTGTTATGGCTGCACACTGTGTTCGCTGTGATCTACCTGGCGCTGACCATGGTGTCGCTGAGGCTGCACACGTCCAAGATGAAAGACCTGCGCAGGGACAAGGCGAGTCTCTCTGACCGAAAGACCGGATCTTGGTGGATGAGAAGTTTTTAAATGTCTAGTTTGGAACATTTTTCCGTCTGCAGGCCAGAAACACCTTGTTTATTTGTTCAGTCCCTAAAGTGGCAACAGCGGAGGATGTAAAGGACCATTTCAGGTGACACAGTTACCGTAAATGATAGTATTAATGTGTATCACATATTTTGTTTTTATCATACAATTTTTGTTTTGATGCCCCTGTTTGCTTAACCATCACCAGCTGTGATCCACCTGGTTGTTTGTCCTTAGGGAGGCGTATCCTCAGTGGCGGGTGTGTTCTGTTACTCTGGCCTATGATGTGGCCAAACTGATGCACCTGGATAAGGAAAGGTGAGACATCAGTGAAGACATTTTCTGAATCATGGGAAACATGTTGTATGTATGAACGAGAGAGAAAGTTTTAGTGGGTGATGGTGTGTGTTTGTGTGTGTGTGTGTGTGTGTGTTAGCAGGGACATACCATCAGTGTTGTGCCTGAACTCGTGCATTGAACGATTGTTTGTGAACTCGTTCGTATTTCGCCTGATGAACGTACAATTGAATACGTTCGTCCTGGCGTGCGTAAACGGGTTTTTGAACGAGTACTTTAGCCGTTCTAGCTTCAGATCTCCACGGAGCTTTTCCGGAGCTAAAGCCTAGCCTAGCCTAGCTTCCATCCATCTGATGCGGCTCTCTTTGCTTGTAAAATAATGACTGGATATTTAAATAAAATGCTTTATATTTTACTGCATTAATTTTATATCTGTATGTCAATTCTAAATGTAAAGATTGTCTGCGTAAACCTGAACAGGTCCAGCCCGGTCTTACTGTGAGACCGGGTTGACGCGTCACGCTTGTGCGTAATCATAGGCGCTGTCTGAGCTGAAGACGATGTGAGATTCTGGGCTTTTCCTCAGACGGCTCCTGGATGCGTCGCCACATTGGAGACAGGAACAAGCACTATTCAGCCAAAGTTTCATCATCAGGGAACATTTTCTAAGTGACAAGTCTCTCTGAGAGACCGGGTTTGGAAAACTCTCGCTTCAGTCGGAGGAATCTTCCTGCATGCGCTCTGGTTCTGCGACGCGCTCCAAGCCCCTCTCCACATCTTCAGCTTGCTGTGCACCTTATGTACGCACTGACAGTGAGCTTCGCTGAGCGGTGTCCAGCTCAGATGTTCAGATGGGAATCTTTTCTTGAGTGATTTAGCTACATCTGCGATGTGTGAAACGAATAGTGTCAGTTCGTCTGCATGCTTCGGGGTAATTCTTTCTATTCTTTCTCCGTCAAAATAAACGGTCAAATACGGGAACTATCCGGTCAACACAAGCCCCGCTTTTAACTGTTCTGTTTTCTTGTGAAAATAGATAAAATTAAACTTGATTACCACCAGATCCAGGCGCACTGCGCGGTTGTCTCCGTCGCTGTAAATGAGGGAAAAACAAATTGATCGGATCCTTTTCTGACCTTCCCCACCTACAAAGTTTAATTACAACAATCAAACGTGACCGAGCCTGGATTTGTATTCTGAACAGTCTAAACATGTTTTAAAAAGAAACGTATGACAAAAGTGGCACCTGCTCAGTAAAACCACCAACAGGGTGAAAATATCTAAATATTGTCGGCAGAGACGGGCTACAACTTCTGGATCCACTTTATATAAATCGTTTTATTGATTATCGTCTTATGAAAGATAGCTTTGACGTACACGAGCGACCGGTACCGGCTGCTGTCACCTGTTGTGATTGGTTAAAGCAGCTCTCTGATGTCTGAGGGTAGGCCCCGCCCACAACGCCGCGGCTGCTGTGGCTCCCAGTGTTTTCTTTACTGTGGGAAACGGGTAATAATGGCTCTTGGATGGGAACAGGTTGCCGACCCCTGGCCTAGCTAAAACATTCTGTTAACCATAGAGTTTATAAAATGTAGAACCCGCAAATGCGGCCAAACATAGGCAGTAGCGGTTGGTGCGGTGTCTACTCTTCTGCGTCTATGATGTGTGCAGGAGTCAAAGTTCATTCAGAAAAACTGTAAAGAGACTTAAGTAAAAGATTATAGATTTTTTAACGTTTTGCACTTTCAGTATTGCACTTTGAGTTTGCTATCACAGCCTGCTCCCTAAGATTGTTTAATAATTTCCCATAAAAAAGATGTTTTCCTCGTGTTATTGACAATAACTGTAGGGTAAAAACTGCAGCTGAGTGTGGACTGAACGGGTGCCAACTATTGGAAAATTATTTCGTAAGTTACGAAGCCACTGAGGCCATCTTGTGGCCGAAAAGGGGCAGAGCACGTAGCGCCAACCCTGACCTTAGCGGCACAGCGTGCTGCTTCTGTGCCGCGGCTGGTCCGAATCACCCCCGTAGGCTAGAATGGATTCTATTTGAAGCAGCGGCGTTCTGCTGCCGTTCCACGCCACTGATGCCTCCAATGTGAAGTAGGGGTTAATTTGTGTTGCTGAATGCATAAAAGAGCTTACCTCTCACATCTTTTACATAACAAATCCTGAAACGTGGTTCCGTATCATTGTTTTTAAACCTATAGGGTGCGAGCTGGGAAAAACCTGCGGTACTATGAGCGGGTTCTTGAGAAGACAGGGCTGCGTGGGCTGATCAACCCGCGACTGTGCAGCAACATCTGTTGCTGCTCCAGCTGTGAGAAAGTGAGCATTAACGCGACAGTTTTTAACGTTTATTCAGCAGGTTTTTCTCATTAATCATGCCGTTGTTCTCTCAGGTTGATGCCATAGAATATTACCGTAGTAAAGAAAAGCAGCTGCTGGAGGAAATGAGGCGGCAGACAGAAGAAGTACCAGATCATCCACTGGGGATGGCATTTGTCACCCTACAGACCGAAGCTATGGCTAAGTAGTACGAGACCCCTTGTTTATCAGTTTAGCATCACTAGAGTTCAACTATATTACAAATCTAATCATGGAAACGCATCACGTGTGAGTATCATGCCATTGTCAGCACGTGACTCCTTATTCTAAGACTTGTGTGTTAAAGCTATTGAGGTCACTAACAGCTGCTATTTGTTCACATCAGCATTCTGAAAGACTTCAATGCTATCGAGTGTAGCGGGATGAAGTGCTGCGGAGGGCGAGAGCCTCAGCCTTCGTCCAAAAGCAAAACTCTGAAAGTGAACCAGTGGCGGGTCAGCTTTGCTCCTCATCACAGAAGTGTTTATTGGTAATCTTCAAACGCCTCATTCTGCCACAGAGCTCCGGGGGTTGACGTCACTTCTCCCGGCATGCAACAGCTCAAATTGAAACGGCGCCATCTTGGCAGGCAGAAGCCCGCAGCTGGGCTATTTGTTACTGTCAGAAAAGCCAATCAGACGGGAAATGTGGTAGATTCCTGTTGTGCCCCAGGATGCAGAACAGACGCGGACGACATAAGGAATGAGCCATCTACAGGATTCCCCAAGATCCGGAATGCCGCAAACGTTGGATCATTGTAATAAAACGCGCTAGTGACCGGGCTAAAATGAAGCTGTGGGATCCCGAGAGTAAAGGTTTTCACTTATGCAGCGACCGCTTCATATCAGGTATTTAAACCAGCGTTTCCTCAACTGTGTGTGGTATTTATTTTAAATGCTTTTATTACGAGTCTTAGTGGGCTTCCTAAACTTATTTTGGCGGGGCTTTTTCTGTCTTATTACTCATAGTAACAAGTAAACATCACGTAAAACGTTGCCTCGTGAGTTCTGCGTGCTGCCGTTTACGTGTTTTATGATCACAGCAATTAACCGGCTAAGCTGTATTTCATTTTAAGCAATGGTTGATCAATTGTCAGATCACACATAAAAAGCACTTTGGATTGCTATTATCTGCCTCACCGAGACAGCTCTCAGACAGATCCTGAGACGCTCCTGCCTGGCATATTTATTTTATTCACAGACTAGTGATTCCTCTTGGTGTTCAGTTTATACATTCAAACAGCACAGCACTCTATTTAAACTACTTACGTGTAAATCTGTTATTTTTCCATCCATCCATCTATTTTCCTCCCCTTATCCGGAGTCGGGTCGCGGGGGCAGTAGCCTAAGTCGAGAGGCCCAGACTTCCCTCTACCCAGCCACTTGGGCCAGCTCCTCCGGGGGAATCCCAAGGCGTTCCCCGGCCAGGTCCGCTCCGACAGCTTCTGGAGTTTTAAAAAAGTATCCCAGGGGCACGGTAAGGGTCGGAGATGTTTAGTCTATTTAATTTCTGACTGTATAAAACGATTTCTTTGGTTTTAAAGTGTGAAGTAAACTCCGACGGAGTAAAATCCAAGCCGACCCCGATCCTTTTGTTTACCTTTGTTGCCTGCCAACATGGCGTCTACTCTCTGAGAGTCACGTGACGTCCGGAGCTCTATAGTAGGGACAAAAGTCTAATCAGGAGCATAGAGGTGCATCAGTTTGGTTCTTTGTCTGCAACTTCGGCTGTGTCTCAATTCAGGGTCTGCATCCTACCTCGGCCGGATTCGTCGGCCGGTTACGTCACAGCGCCGCGACTCGGCCTGTCCCAATTCGAAGACTCCTTCAAATGCGGTCGACGAATGCGGCCTTCTTTTCGCCTGAATGAAGGATGGGTCGGGTGTATCCTTCAATAGGTAGCATTTCCCAAGATGCCTTGCGGGCCGGCCGACAGAAAAACTTAAAAACAATGGCGGACAGTGAAGCGGGAGCTGTCGGAGAGGATTGCGCATATAAATGTAAGTATAAACTTGAAAACTGTCAGTTTAAGGACTTTTTGTGATACATGAACGTTATTTTAGTTAGAAATGTTACAGTAAAAGTGCTTGTATTGCGGTCTCGGCTCGTATGTTCGGCCGCGCTCGGTGTCGACTTCTCCCGCTACGTTTCCCCCTGATTTTAATTGAAGTTTGTATTTTAGGACCAAAAGAGAAAACCAGGGAATTTATTAAGCTTAGGGCGGAGATGGACCACATGATCACCGGAGCAAAGTATTCGGCGGCTGTGGCATGGAGGTACAATAACATCTCATATTTTAAAAACTCGTTTGAGTTTATTTTTTCTGCGAAAACATGAAAGGAATAACCCGTTGTCCTCTTTTCTCTTCCTGTTTCTTTTCTTACATGTTTGTTAAGACTATTCTGGAGAAAATGGGCATCCAGGGGAAGGTGCCAGCGATGACCAGCATCTGGAGCTGATCTGGGAGGAATTGAGGCTGCAGAGGGAGGCAGAGCAGCAGAGAGCACAGGAGAGAAGGAAGAACTTTGACAGCTTTTTACTTTGCTAGAAAAAATGGTTAAGGAAGATTAAACATGTACATGTAAAAGAAATATCTAAATAAAACCAGTTCTGCATTAAACTCTTGAATTTTATTTTTGTTTACAAATGAGAATTGTTTACTAGAGGGTATCCGCTGGGTCTTGAAAAGTCTTAAAAGGTGATAAATCGGTTTTGGTCAAATTAAGACCCTTAGAAAGTATTAAAAACTATTATCACATCTTTGCTCATGCTCAGCTTGTCTAAAGTATTTTCTCTGAATTAGCTCTCCAACAGTCAAGGAAATGATTAACCCACAGAGACCCACGGTTGTAATATTACAACATCAGATTTAAGTCCACAAAAATAAACCTTCCCCATTTTTTTTCTTTTTAAAACCACATTTACATTGCTAATAGGTCCTATTGTTCAGTTCTGCAACACTATTGGCTGTTAAAATGTGTAAATAGGCCCGTTTATCTGGCCTCCTAGAACAACATGTGAAAGGTTAAAAAAATATTTTGCAGTTGTTTTCTAAATTTGGGTTTCTGGGGGTTAAAAAGCTAAATAAAACGTCGAGCTCCATCGTTTAAGGTTCCTTCTGCCCAGCGGTTCCATGGTTGCTAGGCGACGGAACGTTCGCCGAGGGAGTTCATGAAGGCTAGGCCTGTCCAAATTCACAGCCGTTAACATCCGGTCTACCCGGCCGACGGAGGACGCAGCCCACGTCGGCCGGGTGGGCTGGGTCCTTCGAAGGATGCAGACCCTGAATTGAGACACGGCCTTCCTGTTTCTTTGCTTCTTTCTCCAAATCCAACAGGGAGAACCTTTCAGTACGAGGTTGCTGCTGGTTCATCCGCTGTATCGGAATAAACATCTCTGTTTTTATCGTTCTCACCTTCCTGACTACTCCCACCATCATTATTAACACCATGGACAAGTTCAACGTGACCAAGCCCATCTACTATCTTAATGTGAGGCTAAGTCGTTCAGATGTTTCACTTGAAGGATTTTAAATCTTCATGAAAGTTTGTTTTCTCTTCTTAGGACCCCATCATCAGTCAGTTCTTCCCAACTCTTCTGCTGTGGTCCTTCTCTGCGTTGTTGCCTACAATAGTGTACTACTCTACACTTGGAGAGGCACACTGGAGCAAGTAATACACACACACACACTGTTAGGGAGTACACTGAATGGTTTCCATTCCAAAAGTACAATTTCCTGCTCTACTGCCTGTTTCCCAGGTCAAGTGAACAGCTGAGCATGATGCGTAAGTTGTACTTCTTCCTGCTCTTCATGGTGCTGATCCTCCCCTCGCTAGGGCTCACCAGGTAATTTTGATGAAGCTTTAGCTCACACTGAATGTAGTTGAACTTAAAAAATGCATGGACGCTTTATACTGGTGATGCCGCTGTTCGTCAAAACCTTTGAAAACATTTAGTTGGAATGCCATCTCTTGTATTAAAATTGGGATTTGAGACATTGCTTGTTCCAGGAGAAACTTAGATTATTTTTATCTGTTGTTTCTCTTTAGTCTTGCTTGGTTTTTCCGCTGGCTGTTTGATAAAACGTTTCTTGGTGGAGAAATACGATTTGAGTGAGTATCCATTTTTGTTTTTGCCCCCTGTCATTTTACCTTCTCTGAAATGATCTTCAAATGCATTTTGGAAAATTATTAGAAGGAAGTGCGTTACAGAGATAATTACTGGTTTTTGTCGTCGTCTTCCTCCGCTTGTACGGGTCCGGGTCGCTGGGGCAGCATCCCAACTAGGGAGCTCCAGACCGTCCTCTCCCCGGCCACCTCCACCAGCTCCTCCGGCAGGACCCCAAGGCGTTCCCGGACCAGATTGGAGATGTAACCTCTCCAACGTGTCCTGGGTCGACCCGGGGGCCTCCTGCCGGCAGGACATGCCCGAAACACCTCGCCAGGGAGGCGTCCAGGAGGCATCCTGACCAGATGCCCAAACCACCTCAACTGGCTCCTTTCGATCCGGAGGAGCAGCGGCTCTACTCCGAGTCCCTCCCGAATGTCCGAGCTCCTCACCCTATCTCTAAGGCTGAGCCCGGCCACCCTACGGAGGAAACTCATTTCGGCCGCTTGTATCCGCGATCTCGTTCTTTCGGTCATTACCCAAAGCTCATGACCATAGGTGAGGATTGGGACGTAGATCGACCGGTAAATCGAGAGCCTGGCTTTCTGGCTCAGCTCCCTCTTCACCACGACAGATCGGCTCAGCGTCCGCATCACTGCAGACGCCGAACCAATCCGCCTGTCGATCTCCCGATCCCTCCTACCCTCACTCGTGAACAAGACCCCGAGATACTTAAACTCCTCCACTTGAGGTAGGACCTCTCCCCCGACCCGGAGTTGGCGAGCCACCCTTTTCCGGTCGAGAACCATGGTCTCAGATTTGGAGGTGCTGATCCTCATCCCAGCCGCTTCACACTCGGCCGCGACCCTACCCAGCAAGAGCTGAAGGTCAGAGCTAGATGAAGCTAGGAGGACCACATCATCCGCAAAAAGCAGAGACGAGATTCTCCTGCCACCAAACTCGACACACTCCACACCACGGCTGTGCCTAGAAATTCTGTCCATAAAGGTAATGAACAGAACCGGTGACAAAGGGCAGCCCTGGCGGAGTCCAACCCTTACCGGGTTTTATCAAATTAATTGACATCCAGTTTGTTAGATGATGAAAGGTACAAAAAGTTAACATTTTACAATTAAATTATCATAAGCAGTTCAATATCTCGGTCATGTTTGAAGGAAGGTTGCGTTCAAATAGATTTCCTTCTCAGCCGGCTTGGTGGAGGTCAGTTTTTCTCCATTCAAAAAGGCCAAAGAGGGACTCGGTCATTGTTTACAATCTGTCCCACTTCCATACATCCTGGTTCCAGAGCCAGTCATATTTGAGCCCATGGGGTGGCCAATGCCCAATCCCAGTACTCGCACTTCCACCCTTTCGCCCTTCAATTGTGCGTTCCAGTCCAGGGGTGCGAGTGCGTAGGGTGTCTCGATCCTCAAGTGCGGAAGCGGACCACAGCCCTTTCGCACCCTTTATCCACACTTCGCTCAAGTCCGGATCGATGCAGACTCTGGCGAAGGGCATTACCCACAATCCATTGCTCCGTGGAAATTTTATAAGAAGGCAGAACAATGGCTCAAGGGCCGTTTCTGAAAATATTTAAAGGAAAGAAGTTCAAAACGAGTAATGATATTTATTCATGCTCTGAATATTTTAGATTAAGATTTAGTGTGAACAACAATGAATGTAAATTTTGTCAAGAAATTGTTTGTTTTAAAGTTGTTAATAAAGTTTTTTTAAGTAGCACAAACAGTGCAGGGTATCCGCGGGTCCTTAAAAAGTCTTAAATTTGCTTTTCCAAATTTAAGGCCTTAAAAATCCTTAAAAATGACAAATAATCGTTAAATACAGTTTCCAAAGGTCTTAAATTACCAAAGACCCAATTAATAAGACTCTTTTATTTCTAAAATTTTTTTGTGAATTTCTAGTTTGTGTTCAGCATTTTTTGTGTACGACATTTGCATAAGTGGAACCGTACACATTCAGTTGGTTGTGAAAAGGGGCTATTTTTAGATGAGCACACTAGCTGGTTAAGCTAGTGGGAGCTTGCGCCATGAGGAAGTGCAAGTTTAATGGTAACTGGATGGTTAATCCCACGTTCGCAACGTGGTTAGCACCGGTTCCAGGCAATAGCTGGAAATTATAGCTTAAATTTAATTGGAGGAAAAAAAAGCTTAAATATGGTCAAAGTGGCCTTAAAAAAGGTCTTAAAAAGTCTTAAATTTTGCTCCCTTAAACCTGCAGATACCCTGTGCGTGTCGCGGTCGACGACACAGTGCTTGCTGTTGCTGTGGGGCACAGTGCGAGTATTGGGAATGGGCCCAAATCTTCCACGTGAACACTGGGGGCGGTGATGAGAGAGGACTTTTGTTTTGATGCGTGGACTGCAGTACCCTATTTTGACCACAAGATGTCATTCTGACCATGCACTTTTAGGTCAAAATGAACGTTTTAAAAACGTTTCTATGTAAGCCAGAGTCTTTGGGCAGCAACTATTCACTGGGGAGTTTCCAAAACATTTTTTTATAAAGCCCGTGAACACATTTAGTGTAAATCATCACACTGGCATAGACCACGTCTTGAACTCGTCTTGATTTAGTTAAAAAGAGTCGAACAGAGAGATATGAGAGCTTTGGGGGTGATCGGTGATGAAATCAAAACTGGAAAACTGAATATTTATTTACTGTTGCAGTTTCATCACACGTCCCTCGTGATTTGAGATTTTATAAAACTTGTCTCAAGTTTGAACGGACCATTTCGTTGTAATTCAAACTTATAGCTTGCACGATTTCCTCACACTTGAGTGCTTTTTAGTCCCTAGTGGCCAAAGCTCACTAACACATGGAGCTTATCTCTGGTTATTATCAGAAATGTTTGTTCTCTTTGACTCCTCTCTCCTTTCAACACGCCAGGTGTGTGTTTTTACCAGACCAAGGTGCGTTTTTCGTCAACTACGTGATCGCGGCCGGCTTGGTGGGATCTGGGATGGAGCTGTTGCGGTTGCCAGGGTTACTGCTTTACACCATACGCCTGATGGCTGCTCGTTCTGCTGCTGAAAGAAAATACGTCAAAGAGGTTTGGTCTTAACTACCATCAGCATCGTTCCATCAAAAATACAAACCAGTTCCCACTTCAGACTAAAATATTCATTGGAAAAATGCTAAGTTAGTTTTTTTTTCTTTGTTGATAGCACCAAGCCTACGAGTTTGAATATGGAGCCATGTACGGATGGACTCTGTGTGTGTTCACTGTCATCATGGCTTACAGCATCATTTGTCCCATCATTGTGCCTTTTGGTACGTCTTTGGTTACATATCCCGGTTGATTCTCAGTCATCTACATCATAATCGTTGTCAGCTAACCTTTAGTATTGTCTAGCTAAAAATGACCCTGTGTCTGTCTCATCAGGCCTCCTCTACATGTTGCTGAAGCACCTGGTGGACAGACACAACTTGTACTTTGCTTTCTTGCCCACTCACCTTGACCGCCAGGTCCATCTGGGAGCTGTCAATCAAACTCTGGCTGCACCAATCATCTGCCTGATCTGGCTTTACTTCTTCTCTGTCCTCCGAGCAGGTTCGACACGAGAGCGTTACTGGTGATGGAGAAATAAAATGATCTGGTTTATTTGGAACCTAACTCATTTTGAACCCTGTGGATGAAGTTGGATGCATTCAGGTTCAGAAAATGCTTGTAAATATAAAGATTTAGCAGTTTTATTCCAAACTTCTGCCTAAAATATTTAAACAGATGAAGGCTCTGCAAAGAATAGAAAGAGGAGTTAACATTTCATAAATTCCATTTAAATTATTATTTTACTATTATAACTTTGTGACGGTTTGAAATACGCTTTTCCAGGTTTCAAGACCTCAACGTCTCTGTTCACCTTAGTGGTGCTGTGCGTCACAGTGGTCTTCTCCCTCCTCATCACCTGCTTCGGCCATCTTAAATACCTCAGCCCCCTTAACTACGAGGTGGGTGTTTCCTAGTGAGTGAAGGTGATGCTGTCGTGTTATCCCTCGCTCTGATGCCTCCTTTTGTTCCTCAGGTCACGGAGCAGGATGAGAACACGGCAGAGGGAGTGGAAAAAAACATACAGGTGGAGAACTTTAATTCCACGACGACGTCGTTTCAAACACACTTCCTGTTGACCTGGAGTTACCTTATCTGTTTATTGTTCCTATTATTCATGTTCCTGGTGTTATTTATGAACTAAGACATTATTGGTGCACCAGCTGCTGCAGGGTAGCGATGGGTACCGAATTCGGTACTTTTTAAGGTACCGACCGAATTCCATAGTACCGACCGAGCACCGATTCACGTTATTTGAAACGGTGCCTCGTTTCGGTCCCCGTCCTTCGTAACGAGAACTTGCCTAGACAGCTGCACATGCGCAAGAGCGTTATGTCGTCGGTCGCTGCGAGCGAGTTGTAAACAGAGCAGCATGGTAGAAAGAACGCACGCTAAATCTTGGGTCCACTTCACTAAATGTGATGGGTAACTGGGTGATGATGAAACCAGCGACAACGATCTAAGTGAGACATCCTCATCTTAATCTGCTCCGGTAGGTAAATATAATGTTTAAGATAACGTTAGCTTGATTTGTTAGCTTCCGTTCCGCTAATGGTGCGTTCGTTTTCTCCTCGGAACTCCGAATTTCCGACTGGAAGAACATGAACGTGCTCTAAAGTTTGGCTTCACTTTACTAAATGCGACGGGTGATTGGGTGAAGATGAAACCAGCGACAACGATCTAAGTGTGAGGCATCATCGTTTTAATCTGCTCCAGTAGCTAAATAAACTGTTTAAGATAACGTTAGCTTGATGTGTTAGCTTCCGTTCCGCTAATGGTGCGTTCGCTTTCTCCTCGGAACTCCGAATTTCCGACTGGAAGAACATGAACGTGCTCTAAAGTTTGGCTTCACTTTACTAAATGCGACGGGTGATTGGGTGAAGATGAAACCAGCGACAACGATCTAAGTGTGAGGCATCATCGTTTTAATCTGCTCCAGTAGCTAAATAAACTGTTTAAGATAACGTTAGCTTGATGTGTTAGCTTCCATTGCTACCATTGTTATCAGCTAATGGTGCGTTCGCTTTCTCCTCGGAAATTCTAACTTCCCAGTAGGAAAAATCAAATGAAAAAGGAGGCAAAAGGAATGAAGATACACAGTAAATTTAGTTCACAGTAAAGATGTTTGCTTCAGTTTAATTATCAGCTTATAAAACTACAAGGACGATGTTAAAATACAACCAGTTGTATGTTATTTATCGTGATATTTGTCAAATATGGTTATAAATTGAGAAAAATAAATATTTAATTATAAAAGAGAATTAAAATATTAAACACTCAAAAGTATCGAAAATTGGTACCGTTAAGTACCGGTATCGATTCCTAGGTACCGGGAATTAGTACCGAATCGATTCAAATGTCAAAGGTACCCATCCCTACTGCAGAGTGGATGACTATTCTAGATAACGCAACACATTAAGGGTTATATGCAGTAAATATTAGTGGTTTTAGAGAAAATGTTTATTTTTGCATTAGAGAAGTGCAAAAATAAAAAGTAAAATTGTTTATTTGATGTTTTGGCAGCTTTACCTTCCAAGAGTGCTCGACAACAAATCACCTGTTTGTGCCACAGAAGAGCCTCAGAAAGCGAAGACTTATGGTTCTACAGAGGGAAGCCCAGTTCACGGCTTCGGTCCAGTGGAGAACACGTCATCAGATTGTTGACTTCATGGATTTCCACGCTGAGTCAAAACCAGGAAGCTAAGATCCACAACTCCACTCAAACGTTTGGCGTCGCTTAGAAAGGCTCTTGTTTTTTATTCATTTAGACTAAAACGTAAGAAAGGAACAGGACTCACCGCTGTCGCGTCTGAATGTCTGTTTCTGTAGCTGGATGTTCTTTTCAGGGTAGTTTTATCTTTTTGTTTTTTTGTGGGAAACAAAAACTTATTCAAGTGATCTTAATGTTCAGCAGTTATACCAACAGTTCCAATTATCATCAACAAGTCTCACACACACACACACACACACACACACACACACACACACACACACACACACACACACACACACACACGCTGTTTTAGTTTGAGGGATTTTATTCAGTAAAGAAATGTTTTACTGGATTTTATTTTATTGTAATTTAGCACTTTGAGTGACTTGAGTTAAACGTCACAAAGCAAAAAAGAGTCACAAACGAATATTTTACCATAAAAATCTGCCAATCAGAGCGAGCCACGATGGTGAACTGATCATGTTGATAATCACGCGTGTAACACGGACACCAAAGAACCTTCCTGATGGGGAAAAAGAAGTAATTTGCACTATTTGTTTTTGTTACGTTATAAAATTTTTGTTTAGATTATATTAACAAAACAAAATACTTTTAAATGAGAGTTTGTAACTTAGTCCATAGTTTCTGTTTTAGTTTCCGTTGTATTATGGCCAGTGTTGGGAGTATAACGGCGTTCTTTTTTAGGTAACGGAATAATCTAATTAATTACTTTTCCCGCCGTTGCAACGCCGTTACCATTACTGGGGACGGAAGGTTGTGCGTTACTTTGTGCTTGTCGAACGTTGAGCAACAGTGTGAGGCTTTCTGACCGCCACACCTCAGCTGCAGCCAGGGAGAGAGAGGTGTCGGTAGCACGCTTACAAACACAATGATGATTGGCCGGGTGGGCGGGGACCCTCACTGTCTCAGTCGCTGCCTGCTGTAGACACAACAGAGCAGTGATGGTAATAACGCTGTTTAAAATAACCGCGTTAATAAAACAATATTTCTTTCTGTAACGAGCAAACTAATTAATTACGTCTTCTTTTATCAAAACGTCGTTTCTGTTACTGATCAGGAAATGTGTGCATTAAGCAGTGCGGTGTGTTGAAGCTGTCATCAGCTGATCAGGAGCTAAAGAGGTAGATGTTTTCATCCGAGCGCATCACGGCCGTGAAGAACGAGGAAGACGTGATGAATATCTACGGCTGCAGGTGTGGGTCTGCAGCCGTGCCCTTCTTAGCGTGACAGCGGGACGTCCCGAAGGTCCGCTCACCTGTTCACCGCTCAGACGTCCTGATCATCTACCTTCCTAGATCATCCAGCTGTAACCTGTTTCTGATCATGTCTTTAGTCCCGCTGTAACACTGATGCATCAGTCTCAGACGTCATGGAGCTCAGGTGTTATCAGAACTACCTGTGTGTGGTTACCACCCAGCTTCAGCTCTTCTGTGGTTGGGTCTGACCCACGTTAGTAAATGTAAGTCCTCCATCAGGCTTGTGCCTCTTCTAGTGTCATTTTAAAGAATTATATTTATTTATTTAACTGTTACTAGATTACCAGCAACAGAAATGCTGCTAAAAACACACAATTATGTCAAGCTGGAAAAATTAGAATACTGTGCAAAATTACGTTTATTTCTGTAATTTAACTAGACTGAGAGACCATTTAAAGGCTCGGGAACCTTTACAGGTGTTTCTATTTGCAATTTAAAATTTTAGCTGATTGGGGTCTTGTTAAATATCACACAGTGACATTTTAATAGTCTAGATAAGTGTAATGCTCCTGTTAGTAGTTCCTCCTGTTAAGTGCTTATTTATTTAAATTATTCAGGTTTATAAAAAACATTTGGACTTACATTTTATTATGTTCCAGTCATTAGTCATTTATAGTGAATTAAGTTCAATTAACCCATTCTTCTAGCATTTTTTAATGAAAAAAGTAACTAGGTAGTTATTTTTCTTGGTAATTAGTTACTTTTATAATCTCATAACTCAGTTAGTAACTGAGTTACTTTTTGACAAAGTAATCAGTAACTATAACTAATTACTTTTTAAAGTAACGTTCCCAACACTGATGATGAGGTCCTTCAGCCATGTTAGCCCTATTTTACTAAATGAATTGAACTTTTAAGCAGGTCAACATCTGCATGCATTGAAAGTGATTTAAGAACTTTATTTAAATGTAACTCTTGAAGCGAAACGTTGTAATGAAGAGTCTAAGGGCTTTCTGTGTTTAGAGCATAGACTGTACATATACTGGACAATTCGATTCCATAGACTTCAATAACACGTTATCTGTCCATAATGGGAGGTGTCCACCACCGCCATTTTGACCGTGTCACAGGTTCCGTCCAGCCCAGACAATTCCATAAAAGGGAAGAGAGGAGGCGCTGAGGGTGTGGCTGTAAGGCTGGGCTCGAGTGACGACACCCAGGCGAACTAGCTACGAGCTAACCTGAAGCTAACCCTGGCTAACCCAAAGCTAAAGCGGAGGTGGGAGCCGAGCTAACGGATGTAGCCACCTAGCTTCAACCCAACCGGAGCTAACTGGAACACCCATCGACCTGAACCTTACACGGAGTTTAGGTGGAGGTTTTCTGCGCCTGTTCGTGAGAAGTACCTGTATTAAAAAAGTTTTAAATCGGTAAGTTTATAATTTATTTCCGTAATGAAAACATTTTGCTTTGAGCAAGTTTTCAGTAGTTTTTTTTGGCGCTATCACTCCTGAGTCGCACCAGCCATTAAATGTATCATGAAGAAGAGAAAATATATTTAAGTCGTATTTTGGGGGGACATTTTATTATCTTTCTTACAAAATCTGAGACCAAGCGTTTCACATTGCAACACAAGCACCGGTAACCATAACAGAATTTACAGCCAGCAGAGGAGAGGATGGCGGTGTTTCAAACCCTCCCGGCCGGCGTGTAGAGCTCATTCCTGGGCTGGAGCCGGCCCTCAGCACCCCGCCACAGGCTCTAACAGATGCTGGCGGTGTTTCATATATTTCCAAAACGTAATACTTGTTTGTATCTTGTACAGCCAACTAGCCTTTATTCTGGACTCAGTACAATTTACCAAAAGTAAAGAGACATTATACAGATGAAGTAAGCACAAGATAACTTACTGGAAGACACAGAGTTATCATCAGAACCAGAACAAGAGAGCCTGATAACAGTCATGTGAAAATAACAGTTAAAAAGTATGTATGTATAATAGAAATAAAAATATATTAGAATTAGTGTAACTCACTGTGATCCAAACAAATCAGCCATAGCTGATGAGTAAATATGACATGAGGTCTGGGAGTTTTTAAGTTTCATTTTTTTCTTAGATCTATTAAAAGGTCACCATGGCAGCCTGTGTGTCTCCAACGTCAGCTACACAACGCAGCGTGTAAGTTCCAAGTACTTGTCTTGACCACTTCATGAATGGTTTTGTACTTTAAACAGCTAGGCCAAACCTGTTATTTTTTCCTCCATAGCCATTTGGATCATTGAAGACAGCTGAGTGAGGCGTGGTGCCCAGAGAGCTGCAGAGACAACCTTGGCCTCCCTGACGTCTGTGTCTCTTGGTTTGGTTGGGGCGGACCATCGACTTACATACATGTGCCGACACTTTGCGCCCTGTTTTATAAAATGTAGTGTTAAAAATAAATGTTTTTGCTCAATTACTGGAATTTCTTTGGTTAAGACAAAAGTGAGGAATAATCATTTACAAGTTATTTGTACAACAGGCCCATTTTAAATCCCAACAGTTTCTTAGCAGACAATAGAAATGTGTTCTTTACTAACTTTACTTGGTTTGAAAATCTTACTAAAATAAACTTGAGTGCCGTATTGCAAAACCCAATCATACTTGTTATGTAAACATTAGCTTTGTAGATATTTTTTTACAGATATATATTTGTGTGCAACAAAAACCAAACTTAAATAATTTGTCATTCTTTATTGAAAAACAACAAAATACAGGTATACAGAAGTGTGGGAAAATGATAATGTGAAAGTATTGCACTATAAATGAAGTGAGATGAGATGAAGGTGAGATGAAGGTGGACGCCAGCGGGCTGGACGCCGGACGAAGAAACCTGGAGATGGATCGCTCAGACAGGAAGGGAAGAGCTTCCTCTTACCTTGATGGAATTAAAGTTAGCCGTCGTCTGAACGCCCAACCGTACGGTCTGAGGTCAAAGGTCACAGGAAACACACAACAGTCAGCAGTCATACAGATGCATAAAGATAACTGTAGCCATGGCAACCAGCTGACATGTCCCCACTTTCACCAGCACCTGGTGCCTGCCGGGTCACCTGAATTCCTGTGTGATGTCAGCACGGTCGGCCGTGACTGCTGCCATCAGAGGTGACCTCTGATCAGCTGAATGAACTCACCTTCCAGGGTGACGCCGTGTTAGAGTCGGCTTCATCCTGTAAACAAACAAATGAGTGGTAACATAAACACCACGTCTGGTTCTGGTGGAGGCGGAGGACAACACGCACCTTTCCAGGAGCAGAACCCAGATGTTCTTGTTGCTACAAACAGAGACGAGCAGAGTTAAACCAGGAAGTGAGAGGGACCAGCTGCTGCAGACAGGTGACGCTCACCTGAGCCTGAACCATAGGAGCCTCCTCAGCCATCAGACCTTCTGACTCCAGTTCAGATGCCACCTTGTTGATGTCCCTCAGGCGGGACTCGTTGGCCTTCAGGTCCTGCAGGACAAAAGCACCTGCTGATCACCTTGTTGCTGTCGGGTTAACAGGTCTGGTGTTAGAACGTGGTGGATAAGAATGTTCTGACGGGCCGAGGGTTCTGAACTCACCCTGCAGGACTGGGCCTGCTCCTTCAGGGCCTGGATGCTGCTGCCGTAAGCCGACAGGTCCGACATCAGGGCCTCGTGCTTCTTCAGGAGAGCCTGTGGAGCAGAACATCAGAACCTTCAGCTCGTCTGACACAAGTGGAGCTTTCTCGCAGCGATGGTCCAATCGGATCCGCCACCGTAAAACAAACCCTGCTCAGTTCACCGCAGACGCAGCTCTGCGGGTGTTTAGTGGAAAAGCGTGAGCCTTCTGCCGGCTGCCACGTGTCATGGCTGCTCTGCAGCGGGAACACACATCACAGCTTGTAAACCGTTTGAAATAAGAGCGACGGGAACACGTTTGTCATCACTTCCTGTGCGAGGCCAGCACTTCTACCCCTAACCCATGAGACGCTCAAACGAGCAACGACGTCTGGTAGACAACCGAAGGAAATGACAAATACAGAAACACTAATTATGAAGGACTGGAAAGAGAGCAAAGAAAAGCGATTGGAGTTTCTCAGGAAGGGACTTCCATACCTCGGCCAAGTCCTCGTCTTTCCCTTAGTCTGGACTTCCAACGATGGGCTCCTTCTCCCTCATCCAGGACTCGGCCTCATTAGCATCCGCAAAGTACTGCTGGGCCTGCAGAGAGTCCTCCAGGTCCTGCCTCCTCTGGGACGCCTTGGCCTTCAGCGTGTCCCAACGTCCATGAAGCTCCCACAGTTTAGTCTTCACTTCCTCACCAGCGAAGTGACCTGGACCCAAAAAAAGTGAGCCAGAACCTGCAGACACCTCAGAAACATGTCAGGACCAGACCTGCTCTACCTTCTTCCACCATGGTCTCTCCTTTCTGGGTGACAGCCTTGATGCGAGGTTCATGACCTGTGATCTCAGCCTGCAGAGCCTGGTGCTTCTTCAGCAGGTTCTGGACACCAATCAGGTCCTTCCCTTAGGACACATGTTAGAGTTCAGCATTATGCAGTAGACAGACCAGTTTAACCCAGGGGTTTCTTTCTTCTACAATCTGCTCTTTAACTGTATTATTTCCTGCTATTTCAGCTGTTAACTTTATTTTCTCTCTAAGTGTTTTTCTCCCCAGAAGAAGCTACAACGATGTTCTGTTGAGCTGTGGTGGCCTCATGGAGGGGGCCATCGGCTAGCACACTGCTGCTAACCACTTAAACATTCTCCCTCTCCTGATAATAACATTTTACTTTCTTTGATGTTGGATGTGCTACTACTAGTTTACCCGTTTAATTATAGATTCACTAGGATAAATACAATAAAGTTTATCTCTTGCCAAATAGAATATTTACTGTGGCGAGCCCGTGAAGAGGTGTAGGAGAATGCGACAAATTTGTCTGTTAAAAAGTCTGTTATGTACAAAAACACAATATCATCACACTATTTTGGACCGATACATGACGGTCAGGTCCAGCTTGGGGAGAAAATATGACACGTCTTTCAGGATGGACTTCATCTTTGGTAGCTGGCGAAGCCGGGAAAAGCAGGATCTAACCACCTGGCTAATGTGGGAGTCCATCCGCATCTCTGGGTCCAAAACCACCCCCAGGTTAGTGATGGTTGGCTTCACTAAGCTGCAAAAACAGGGTTGCAGGACAGGACTAACTGCAGTGGGAGAGGGAGGAACAAATATTCCAGTTATAAATATTAAATATTTGAACAAATAAATATTTGTTAAAAGGAAGAAACTGATGATGACTTTAAGATTAGAGGAATGTTCTAGAACGGGTCTGGAACCAACGATGGCCCTTTGGATCAAATTTGGATTAAAAAAATAGCTCATGATTTTATTTATGGATGGAATAAAAATACAGGTTGTAAGCATCTTCTCAGTATCTTCATGTTGCACGACTTTCCACAGCAGAAGGACACAAAAACTGCCAGAATTATGATTAGAAAGATTTACGTTTTAATCTCAGAATCCCAACTTTTCCCAGAATCTTCACATTATTCTATGAATTCAGAGAAAATATACATTTTTCAGAGGTCTCGCTCCCCTGTTGTGGATATTTCTCAAAATTCAACCATTTTTTCTTTTCAAAAGCTTTAGTAAGAGTTTGGACTCTAAACAAGTTTTACTTTGCAGACTGCTTGTCTAAACCTTCATCAGATCTGCTCATAATAAAACATTTGGGTTATATTTAATGCCCAGGAAGATGCTCTTCCTGGGCATTAAGTTATCAAAAACAGATAAAATTATTTTTTACCATAATTTTAACTGCTATCAGCTGATAAAAATAATAAAAAACAGCCTGATCATTAAAGGGGTGTAAGTGAAACCGCGCGGATCACACAAACCATCATGCTGTCTATATGACTTTGAAAATATATAGTTTAATTACAGTTTGATTTATTTGACATCTGTATAATGTTTATTATTTTGTTTTTTCCCCCTAAATGCCTAACGTTTCAGTTTAACATGAATATTAGTCATTCATCACAATACATAAAGTTACACATTTTAAATTTTAATAGGGGAAGACTGCAGGAGGGAGCGGTAAAATACAGAAATCCCCAGCAAAAACAAGAAACTTTACGAGTCTGATGAAACCCGCTGGAGTTCCTTCAGCAGGCCTGGTGGCAGCTACAACGGCCCAGTGGCTGTGCTTGGTCAATGTTATCGAGCTCAGTCCGGCTCGGCCGTGAACGAGCCGAGGCGACATCCTGCTCTGCTTAAGAAGAGGTGTTATTTTCCGCTTCAGAAGAAGCGTCCGTGTTTTACGCTTTCTCAGAGACATGTCACGTTGCTAAGTTGTTAGCGCCGCGCGCTAACACGTCAATAGTGCAGCATAGCCTGCTGGAGGGTTCAGATGAAAACACCCTACCACTCAGGCTGCTTACACATCGATATTAAGTTGTCGCTGTTGCGCTCACGCCGTAATACAGTATTAGATGCGGTTAAAGTCAGACATGAAAAACTCCACGAGCGGTCAGACCGCGCAGCAGCTAGGCGCAGCAAGTAGGCGCCGGATCGGTCAGGCTGCCCGGCCTGACCGCTGGGGATTACCGGATGGAAGAATGGACACAGAAGTCTCCCTCTTAGCGCTCCGTCATATTTCAACCCATTTTTATCTTAAATGCACTGGGTTTTACCCTATTACCCTTCTAAATATGCCCTATTAATTATTTTACCGTATTTTACATTTAAATTTCATGGTTAAACAGTACATGCTACATGTTAAACTGATAGTTAGCTAGCTACTTCGGTAAACTCAGCTAGTTTAAAGGTAGCAGTGACATAAAATACGAATATAGATTTTAACTTACCGAAAAAAATGAAGTGGAGACTCCTTGGACGCTCTATTAGTGCAATTAATACCACTGCAAGTCATTTTGTCCAACAATTGCACCAATAATATCCAAAGAAGAATACACAAACACAGAGACTCAAAATGCCGGAGCAGTTTCCAAGCCAGACCGAGGCTGTACTGAGGCCTTTCCACGGAGCTAGCTCTGTGGTCACGTGGGTCTGAGGCGGCGGTCACGTGTGTCGGATGCTCATTAATTATACAGAATTTTAGGCTTTCAATACACTTAAACAGAAGAGTGAGAAAAAAATTCACCCCCCTCAGAGTTGTCATGAGTATAAACTAGATAATTTAGACAAAAAACATGTTTTGGCACCAGGCTGTAAACATGTTTATTTCTGCTGTGAAATCGGCATTTTTAACATGGGAGTCAATGAGGATTTGCTCGCTTCTGGCACCAGCCCCCAGCGGATGAGGGTGGAACTGCAATTTTTCTTACTTCCGGGATGGGACCATTTTCTGAGCGGCATTGTGGGGGCTTGGTGTGTATGTGTGTATATGTATATTATATGTGTATATATGTATATGTATATTATATGTGTGTATATGTGTATGTATATATATACATATATAATTCATTGTTTTTTACAGGTTTCTGCAAGATTAAAAAGGTTTAAAACAACTGTAGTTTTCTTTTTCTATTAAATTATTTTCCTTTGTATTCTCCTTAATTTGTCACAATACAATACATAAATGTAAGTGCGATGTTTAAGTTTTAGACTGAATAGAAATAAATATAGCTGCGTCATTTTACAGCCCTGTTCCGAATCGAGCGTCACTCTTTAGTATCGCGAGATTTGACACGGGAAGAACGGTCAAGGAAAAACATGGCTGCCCGCGGTGTGCTGAGGTCTGTTTGGGCCTCATTTACAGGCTTAAAACTAGGTGCTGGGGTCACAAACACTAATTCGTTTATGAAGGTTAATGTTCCCCAGCTTTCCGCTTTAACCATCCCGAGCAGAGGAGTTCGTCAAGGTGAGGTTTATATATAAACGTTACGATTTTATCCGGCTAGTCATGTTAGCATGACGCTAGCATGCTATCATAACAGCCAATGATTTTTATAATGACTCTTGTTTTGATCAGGTTTTGGTTTATATTCCTATTTTGTTCTGTAATTGAGAAATCGTGTTTGTGATCATTTGTTTTGAACGACATTAATGAGTCAATGTCACAATCTAGATGTTTAATTGCTAATCAGTCATTTCTTTACAAAGTCAAACTCAACTGTACGGTCACTATTAATAATCATGTTTACGAACGTTTTTGTAAACTAAACATATTTGTATATGTATTTGTAGTTAAACAAACAACAATAAAACAACTGTTTTAGGTAGGAAACTGGCTGCTTTAGAATATTAGTAAAAGCTTGAGTCCGTTTTGATAAAACCATAAGAAAGAGCATCATTAGAATTAATAAATAAAACATTTTACATATTTATCAGAGGCTCATTATTGCTTGCATTAAGCTTTAATATGTTTTATCAGAATTTGTCAACCATCACAGTTTTAATGCCTAATATGAAACATTAATATTTTCACAGTTGTGGAGAAAAGAGAAGGCAACACCACATCTGTAAGTATATCCGACTGCAACTCCAAGCATCTAGACTTTGTTTTCTCAGGGTTTTCTTAATTTATTTTTTGTTTATTAACTAAATATATGAAACATATTAGTTTTCCAATTATCAGAGTAATAACGCTCAATGTCCAGAATAGTTTCAGTATTCCTTTATTCTGTCAAGAAGCATCAGTTTAGTGGCGTAACGCTTGTTCTCTGGTAGATCGAGGGACAAATCATAGACTTACCAGCTGCACCTCAACCTCCAAATCCCACAGCAAAGTGTCCCATCTACAGGTGGAACCTGCAGCACAAGTACACCTACACTGTAAGTACTACACACTTTGACCTTGATGGATTTTCTGTGATCATTTAGATATTTGATTTCTCTTGGTTGTCTTCTTCCTTTCCAGGATGTGTTGCTGCTTCGTCAGTTCATCAGGTCAGATGGGGGAATGCTGCCTAAGAGAATCACTGGTCTTTGTCCGGAGGAGCATCGCAAGATAGCCATATGTGTGCAGATGGCTCACAGAGCAGGTTGGTGTTAAGTTAGATTTACAGCTGCTGTCTTTGCCTGTTTAATATTTACTTACAAATACTGGGAAGTTAGTGTCATGACTGAGTCATCTGGGTTGTCAGAAATTAGACTAGACTTCAAATTAAAGGTGGTCTGGTGTATTTTGTCTATTGACAACTTTTGTATTTTTGACAGGGAACTTAATTAAGCATGAATTTGAAATCATCCAAAATAGGCAATCATAAGGAATTAATCATAGTCAATCATCAATAATTAAATTGTTCTGCCCAGATGGTCGTCAGCTGGTTAGTTTTTTCTAACTTTCATTAATCGTAGCATTTCTAAATTTTTATCGTGCTTAAAGTTAAATTCTACATCAGAGAAATAAATGAAAGGGTTGGGTGAAGCACATCGGAGACCAGAGATTCCCCCAGGTTGCTCATATTGCTGCTGTCATGCTTCAGTTACTAGCCTAACTATATTAGCAGATCCCTTTCTGACTCCGAAGAGGCAGTTGTGGTCAGGATCAAATCAGCTACAGCTCTTCTGGGCTTTGTTTGATTTGATTATTTGACGCTGAATAATTCTCATTTCAGCCTGTGTGGATCTTAAATGCAGAGGCTGCAATGAGCTCCACAGATGTTTTGCCTCTGATAATGCATCTTGTGTTAGGAGATGGAACGACTGTAAGGATGAAGTTGTGGCTTTAACAGCATGATTATATTTGAACGTGCATTCATAGATCTGATAACGTAGGGTTGGGCATCGAGCATCGATTGGAACCGGTTCCAACTGTTCTTTTTTCCCGGAATCGTTCAAAGATTTTATTTCGATTCCTAGTATGCCGACGGAAGAGGAACCCGTGGCCGATCTCCATGAAAAATTAACGTGATCTGCAAATTGTGATCAGCGCTTTTCAGAGCTGATCACACCAGCTGTCTGTGTGCAACCATTTATTTATTTTACTGTATTCAAGGTCTGCTTCCTGATCACAAACCCAAACTTCCAGAGGGTCATGTCCCCAAGAGGCCCACGCTGAACAGGTGCTGCTCTTCTCCAGCATCCGCATTCATCCTCAGCACTTTTAACCCTGCATAAGAATTCCTTTAGATCTCGTGTTTCCTTTGCAGGTACTTGACTCGCTGGTCCATCGACTCGGTGAAACCCATCTATAAACGTGGACTGAAGTGGCGTAAGAACCTCATGGATGTGGGTCACCCAGCACTTAAGAACAACGTGCGTTATGGTATAAAGCCACTAAGCTTCAAGCACTGAAGGACAAAAAGCCTGACAGATGTGCACAACAGCCGGTGGAGGATGAACCCATCACTCAGTGGAGCTGTGGAAAATCCAGCTTTTCTTTTTTTTATGGACAATGTACCTGGATTTGTCATGGTGGCATGCAAGAAAACGCAGAGGCATTCATTTAAACTTTTATGAACATCGGCCACGAAATGGTATCCTGAACAAACGTTTCAATAAAACCAGCCTGTTTGCCTCCTCCTGCTGTGTAACAATACCTTTTATGAACAACTATTAAAAGGTAGAATAAACCAAACTGCACAACTCTTGGTGATTAAAAGAACGCCACGCTAAAGAAAAAGAAGTCTACTAAATCATATGAGCAAGGTGTACATTTTTTTGCCCGTCGCCGAAGTAGATGTATCCGTGGTGCGGAGTCGTCGGCACGTGGTAGAAGGCCAAACCAAGCCATAGGAGGCTGCTGAGGATGTACACTTTATCGTCACTTTCCCATTGAAGAGACCATGATCCTAAATAAAAAAGAAGAAGAAACTTAACACTAAATAGTTTTTTATTGTTAAGCTAGAGCTTTAACGTTGATCTCAGTGATTGTTGAGTTAGAAACTTGACCAGTTTCATATTAGACACCACTCTGCAGCCCTCTGCTGACCAGATACTGCACTAAACAGTTTAATGGAGCGGGTAGGTGTTCCACTGGGGGCGCTCTACCTTCTTTACAGCTGTTATGCTAGCAGATAGCAATTTCAGCACAAGAAGAAGAAAAAAAAGAAGTTAGCCTTTTTGTTGCTATCATGGCGGAGCCTGGAAGTAAAAGTAGGAGAATAATGTCTTTGGAGAAGAAGCAAGGAGCTAAAACAAACCAGAGTAAACATCAGCGCCTTTAATAGTTGGAGGTGGCCAAAGGAGGCTACAGATTCCTGGACTGATGGTGGCCTGGCTTTGTTGCTACAGAACTTGTAAGTAATAAGTTTTATCCAACAGTGTGGATTTATTTACTTTGTGGTTTATTTTAGTATTAGTTGGCGGATGTTAGCTCGTTTGTAGTGCTAGCGACAGCAGGTTGTAGCAGGGTTGTTTACAACAGTTGTAATTCCGCTTTCAACCAGTAGGGCAGAGGAGCAGGAAATTGCTCAGCCTGACTTTTTTTGTCCGAGACCACCATCTAGAGGTGGAAAAATGTACATTAAGCTCCCCTCCCTACTTACTTCCATGCACCTCTAGCTGAGAAATAGAAGTAAAACACATGGATTTCTATTACTATTCTCATGTTATGCTGATTATTCATAAATATATTTGAAATACTTCTCTATAAGTCTAGGTACTTCTGCAATCAAGCAGTGATTGACATCCCTACATGTCTTAATGCCATTGACAAAGTCTGAGCGGTGCTCGGCTCAAATTGCATGGGACTCTATGTGATGGGGCGGGTCTAGCTGAAAATAAAATGGAGTTTTGCCTGCATTATGTCACAGAACAGGGTAAGACGATCACTTTCATCATACATAATCCCTCAAAGAGGAAAATCCCTGGATTTTGCCTTGGAATGTTGCCGTACATATATGCAGTAATATTTGGTAATATCACAACTTTCTCATGCTGGAAACCGCCAAAGGACACTAATAAATCTCCTGTCAGTGCTTTTGACGTCGTCCAGTCGAACCCGTTTCTCAGTAAGTTTGGGCGTGACTGCCGACGTGGAGATTATGGGAGTTAGACACAGACTGGAGTTGGACTTGTCTCAGAACATGATGCAACTCCGAGTAAAATTGCCACGGGCCTTTGGTAAGAACTTGGTACAGGAAGATGAAGAAAGGTATAAATTAGGAGCTTGGGATTGTTACAGGATAAATGTTGATTAAAGGAAAAGGGGAATCCAGGAAAGCATTTTTATTTTTTGACTATTTGGTGTTTTCTTCTAAGTCGTTGTGATTTCCAGTGGGAAAATCTTCCTTGGCGCGGCGCGGGAGCAGCTGTGCCCGTCTCTGTGGTGACAACACGGCTGTCATCTGACTCAAAGAACACACATAAGCAAGCGCACATGTGGAGACTCCTAAATCAGACCATCTGCGACATGTTTTCTTGTGGCTGCAGAACTTTTTCTGTTTTTTTATTTAACTTTTGAGATGTGCACACATCCTTTTACACTCGGGACCTTAATGTGTGTGTTCAGTCTGGCCTGGAATGGATCCAGCTACAAACCACACTGTCTTGTTGACATGATTGTGCATAAATACATTTGCATGACTGGTTTTATAGTATTTATGGCTTAATGTTTGCCTCCTGGGTTTGATTTTTCCATTACATGTAACACTGTCGATGTCTACGCCTGCCAACAAGGTTTGAACTTCAGAACTAAAAGCCTACTAGACACTGGCAGCAAATGTTAAATAGTAAAATAAAATAACTGCTACCCAGTTTTTATTTTTTAATTTAAGGAAACTTTCCCCTTACCCTCAAATAGGCTGAATTTAGCTGTAAACAGGGTATCTGCAGGTTTAAGGGAGCCAAATTTAAGACTTTTTAAGACCACTTTGACCTAATTTAAGCTATTTTTAAAATTAATTTTAAGCTATAATTTCCAGCTATTGCCTGGAACCGGTGCTAACCACGTCGCGAACGTGGGATTAGCCATCCAGTTACCATTAAACTTCCCCATGGCACAAGCTCCCACTAGCTTAACCAGCTAAAAACAGCCCCCTTTCACAACCAACTGAACGTGTACGGTTCCGCTTACGGCAACATCACACACACAAAAAAAGAATCTTGTTTATTGGGTCTTTAGTAATTTAAGACCTTTGGAAACTGTATTAAAGGATTATTTGTCATTGTTAAGGATTTTTAAGGCCTTAAATTTGGAAAAGCTAATTTAAGACTTTTTAAGGACCCGCGGACACCCTGTGTACATTTTGGGTAAAATCCAACACAATCAGGTATAAAATATGCCAAGAATGTGAGAGAAATTTCCAGAAAGTCTGCCTCGTGTATTACCAATAAACAGCTTTAAGTTGTAATATTTCACTTTAACCTTTTACTAGTAGGGTTATTCAACGCGTTATCATTTGGATGAGTCCTACCTTGGCTTTCACACAGGTGAATAACAACTTTTTTATGGCAATTAGATCAAATTTGGATTATTTCTTTCACCTTTTGGGACGTCATCACTAAGAACATCCAGGAAGTCAAACGATGGGCACCAATCTCCCCTCTTCTGGACGTCTTCCTTCTTTATGCTCTTTGGTTCTCTGAAGTGCATGTAATTGTCAAGCGACTTTCCCTCTGCTTTAGAAAGACCTTAAAGAAGGAAAAATAAAAATAAATCAAAGCTGAATCACAAAGTGCAGAGGCGGCTAACCAGTGGAATGCAGCCAAACAAACACGATGGGTTTGTATGTCTGATCTAGCCACTCAAAACAAATCTGACTGATCCACGCATGAGTCAGTTTTATGCACCGGCTAATCTCAACACAGCACAGCGAGACATTGCACCGCAGGATTTACAGCATATTTACCGCCAAAGCTGCGATTGAGCTGAACAAGATCACCAGTCTTGATGAAGGCTCCTCGAGGCACCACAGACACTTCTTCATCGATCTGCTTAACCGTCACAGCCAGCCTCATCTCCTCAGTCGCCACCAACTGCAACCAAGAATGTTTCATTTTGATAGATTGCACTGATAATTTCAAACCTAATCTGATTTTTTAATCATTGAAAAACAAACATGTTTTACTTTTATGTGCTTTTTGAAGATCTTTCTTTAGACTTTGGCTTCGTTTTTGGACACGTTAGTCCAATCCTTGACCATTTATGACTTTTTTTAACAGAATGAAATGACTGTTCCACATGTCGTTTCCCCCCTCTCCTCTGACACAGGACTAGTCTGCATGAGATACGGCCTCAAGGTCTCATGCATTTGTTATAAACTGCTTCTTTCCAGCTCAAGAGAAGAATGAAGAAAGGACTCTCTCCTTTTAATAAATCAAAGAACTCTATTTTAATAAAGTTAATCTAATAAAGTGTTAGTCAATAATAAGATGTGACCAATTGGTGAAATCAAAATATTAATTACTTTATTATAATCCTATAGAATATAATAAGTAATATGACTTTAAATGTTTCCACTAGGACTGATCTCACGTAGCGTTAAGACATGACACATTGCTTCACTGATCCAATCAATCTGCCAGATCTGACGGAGGCGTGGTTTTGGTGGTGTTTGGTAAATCTGTCATCTTTTCATTCGACCGTAAACCAAAACATCCGAAGTATAAAACTATGCCCACGCCATCTCTAACGCCAGTTCAAAGCGTTCTAGAGAAGTTGTCGGAAAGGCCAATCCGTAACTTTCTTCTTCAGCCGAAAGAACCAACGACAAGCTGGATTAAATCTGTTGCTGTCCCAACCAAGCAACGGTTCCTTTCAGAATAAAAGCTGAACCATCACGACCCAGGTTTGGGTATCGCTAGATGCCAACAAAACTGTTGTGACCCGGAAGTATCTCACAGACTGGTGGTCGGCTGCCGTGGCTGTTTCTACGGGCTTCGGCTCCATAAAGGTCAAGCTGGACCTCTACACCTCCTGATCTAACGGGGACTTCCTCTAAGGGTACGTAGGCCAACAGAATGGCGTCGAATGTGTTTAAGAATCTCCTAACCAAAGCGTAACGCGAAGACGTCACCTTCACTTCCCATCAGAACTAATCGTTTCTTCGGATTTGCTGGTTCTGAACAACATTCCACACTACACCATTCTCCGTCTCATCCACCTTAGTTACACCATACATTTAGTGTTAAAGTTAGTCTAGTTTAATTAGCTAGTAATAAATCTGTAAACTTTTAAACTTGACTCTCTCTTCTGTTGTCTCTGAGTGAATATGAAGCTGTTATCTAATCCCTGCATTAAAAAGATCCAATCTTCTGGTTTAAATAACCCAACAGATCCATAAGGTGGATTTCATATTTCCTATAGAATCCCACGTCTCATGGCTCATTAAATAGCATGTAATTTAAAATCATTACAAAGGAGTACAAAGGCTCTGAAGCTTGCATAAGCTCATCTTGTGTGGACACAAACATAAAGAACAAAAATCAATGGGCATGTTTTTAGCAGCCTTAATGTAAACAAAATAAAATAAAATCAACATTTTTTCACTCGGAGAACATCTTGCATTTTACTTTGAAATTAGACACACATTAAAAGACTAATGTAGACGTAGCACTCACTGGTAGTCACTATACATAGGGAGCCTAAGCCACGCCCATCTACTTCCGGGCCATGGGTCCCCAGAAATAAGAAAAAGTGAAAGATTCAAATCAATGGTGCTATAAAAGCTATTTTCTAATCCTGTTTGACATGTGCCATGGATTTCACACCACGAAGACACATTTTGATGCCAAGAATGCGCTCATTTTTGAATGGTGGCAAAAGTTATTTTAGGTTTTGTGTGGAAAAAACGTGTAGGACTACAAATGTTTGTCACCATATTGAAGTCATCAAACCAGACACGGAGAAGAAAATGGCGGAGTTTAGCCAGCTTCGAATCCTTCACGGCTGAAGGAAAGACACAGCCTCCACTCCTAGGCCCAGCCTTTGTCCTCGTCTCCACCGTCCAGGTGTGCGATCCTGGCTTTCAAAAAGATGATCCAGGCGAACAAAAAAGGTCCAAGTTCCAAATAAACAAACGGTTTACTTGCAGGGGGATGTTTTTTTTACTTGTGTAGAGGCTATTTGTCCATAAAACTTAAACAAAAAATAATCAAACACTTTCAAATGGCCACTGGGCTATGTCAAGGGTTTACGCACGGGTAAAAAAAAGTTTCAAATAAAGCAATGTCCATGCCAAAATTGAGTTTGGTGGTGGTTTATTCACTCAAGCAGCAAGAGCACAGATTTTTGCCTCCTCTCTGTCCAGGGGCGTGTCCAGGGAGTGGCCTGGGGTAGCACATGCCACCCTTGGAATCTGATTGGCCACCCCAGGTGCTAACACACTAATTTACCTTTAAATGGGCTTTTCATTGTCCGCAAAAGGCTTGGGGGTAAAACAAAAAAGGCATAACCATTGGTGCCACCCATGCACAAAGTTGTGCCTCACCTGGGCCACCCCATTTTAAAAGATCTGGCCACGCCCCTGTCTCTGTGTGTGGTAAAAAAAAAAAAAACATGTTCCCTGGCAGCCATGGCTGCTCCACCCACCTTGACCTATTTATACCAATAATCACCCACACCTGACCAACAAACAATAAACTAATGAGCCAAAATAATAAATAAAAAGCATTATGCAAAACAAACAAATTACCTTTGGCATCAAATAAAGAAAATAAACTGGGCTATAACTTAGGCCTATAATAAAGTAAATAGCTTCAACAATAGATAATTTAAGTGAAATCTGTGTTATGCTTGGTGGCATGATCACACATACCCCTGCACCTTTATCTCCATCACTGCGGTGGGTCCTTGCTGGGTACACAAAAGACGGCTCCCCTCTGAAAGGACCCCTTGCATTTGCAGCTACCTGCTGGATCATGGAGTCCGTGATGGAGGGGAGGAGGAACCAGTTCATGCAGTCAAAGCTGGAGGTGACAGACCACAGGTCAGCCAGAACACATCACACTAAAAACAGTTGGGTTAAAAATGACCCAATTTGGGCTGTTTTTTAACCCAGCCGCTGGAGCAACATTGCACCAGCCCAGCAGTAGTTAACTCAAGATGGGTTCCTCCATTTTAACCCAGCAGATGAGTTAAATATTCCACCCAAATTCTGGGTCAAAATAGCCACAAATCTGGGTAAATTCAACCACACTTACGTGTTATTTACTCTACCTAAATGCTGGGTCAAATTACTAAAACTATGGGTTGTTTAAACAACATAATGTTCAGTAATCACTCCAAATGTTTGGTCAATATGCCAAATTATTTCTAACTCATTACATACAGTGCATTTTGGAAGACAGAAAATTGCACCTATCCACACTCAACTATCAAAACATACATGCTAGACTTGGTCACGTAAAGCATATACAATACAATAAAACTTCAACAATACTGAAATCTTTACAAGGCACTGCCTTGAAATTTATTCATATAAATGTAAACAATATAAAAGTTCTAATCACTTCACATCAAGAACTGCAACAATGTACACTGAAATACATGTAACTCAGTGCTTAAAAAACAACATTTAAATGGTCAAGAGTACATTTTACAAATACCTATTTGCTTCTTTTGCTAGCACGTATTCTACTCTGCAGAAACTTTACTAGTTTCGACTCCCCTCCTGGGATTTCATAGACGGTGGTTTGCAGGAATTTCCAGACGTGTTCACACTGCCTCGGGTATTCACTGTCTAAAATAAAGAATGCCTTGAAGCAGGCATCGACGGCCTGAAGCAGTGTGTCATGTTCCACAGCCTGGCCAGCAATGATGACAAAGGCCTGAGACACATGCTGTGTTTCATTTCCCAACGTCAGCACATAGGGGAATGGTCTTGTGGCCTTGGCCTCGTGGAGGTATTCCACCATGTTGGTTCCAGGCTAAAAAACAGAAAGAAAGCATAACAACAAACAGGTGAGAAGGAATGCGTGAGTAAGGAACAAATGTCTACCAACGTCAACTGGGTGACAGTGGCACAGGAGTTAAGTGCTTGCCCTGTAATCGAAAGGTTGCGTGTTTAAGCCCCGCTCAGTTTGTCGCCGTCATTGTGTCCTTGGGCAAGACACTTAACCCCCCTTGCACCAGGGCAGCTATGGCTACCCAGTGTGTGAATGTGCTTGTGAATGGGTGAATGACTGTGTTGTACAGTGCCCTGGGGGGTTCAGGGCTCTATAAGATGCTATATCAAATAAAGGTTATTTATCATTTAACTAGTACAGCAGAATAAAAAAAGACATTATGACAAGCATTTTCCTGGTCCTCACAAGAAATATTTAAAGAGCAAAATGCAGGTTAAAGACTCCCAGGAACCAATGTTTAGAGAAATACAATAGAAACTCGTTCAAATTTTTTTTTTACACATATATAATTTAGGCTTTTAGAGTCATTTTTGTGAGATTTTTTGTTTTGCCAAACCAAGTGACGTTTGCTGAGGGAGTCCTGTTAGTTTAATCTAGCGATGCACCGATATGAAAAATTTTGGGCCGATGCCAATATCCGATATTAATATCACTGTTATGGCCGATAACCGATATTTGCTGATACCGATATACTGACATTAATGCTTCTAAAATCAGATTTTGTATAGAATGAACATTTTTAAAGCGGAATTTACGTTATGTACACACCACACACACATTTACAGTTCTGAGATGATTTCATTCACTGTTCACATGACTTAACAATCACACATCACCCCCCTCACCCTCTGAAACAGGCAAACAAATGGAGACAAGATGGAAAAAATATCGGTTGTTAATATCGGCCCGGTTTTATTTATCGAACCGATATCGATATGTAAAAAAATGACTAACATCGGCCGATACCGATATTCATCCCCTGTTTAATCCGGAGAAAAATCTGGATTCTAATGCGGTTCTGACACAGAGGAAACTTTAAATGTTTATAATTCTACTTCTAATGGACCAAAACCATACAGCAAGGTCTGAATGGATTAAAGCACAAAAGTGTTAACATATAAATATGTTAACTTCTGAGTCAGTATGGTGTGGTAACGAGGCGATCATTCAGCGGCACTGCAGCCTTGTTTTAAAAGCATAAGATGTTTTTAAAGTGACCAACACAAGCTTGTAGATGACTTGACAATATTTGTAGGTATAGAATAACAAATCTGGATATGTGTGTGTGTGTGTGTGTGTGTGTGTGCGTGTCTGCGCACACACATTCATGAGCCAAAGAATAACAGGTATATGTTAATGAAAAGATAAAAGTTTGCCTTTAGATGTACTGGAAGACTTACAGGTTTATGGTGGATGAAGGCCAAGTTACATTCTTCAGTGGTGTGGCGAACCATTATAGCACTGTGGCCACGGCCAAGTTTGTAAGCAGTTGGAGGGAGCAAGGATGGCAACTGCCTCAGGCTGAGTTCACCAATGGCATCTGTTGAAGACAATATAGGTGAGAATATAATGTGGAATGGCATACATGTGATTTGTCATTTGGTATCCAAATAACATGAAACCTATGGTAACAGTTACATGCAGCCAATTCCCACCCTGTGGATGGTTATAGTGACATGTCTGTCGCGAACAAAATGGCTCTCAGAGCCAGCTCGTTGATGTGACCGATAGGAGCCGGAGAGAATGACACAGACTGTACCTGCAGGCTCTAGAGCCGCTAAAAGACTGCAAAATGTGCGCATGTGGTACGCGCGCACCAACACGCAGCATACCTCTGATTGCTGTGAGACAAGGAGGAAGGGGGTGGTGAGGTTGCAGTGCACCTCCGACCACTCTAAAAGCAGGGAGAGGGATGGCACGCACAAATTGCCAGGGACAATTACTACACTGAACAAAAATATAAATGCAACACTTTTGTTTATGCTCCCATTTTTCATGAGCCGAACTCAAACATCTGAAACCTTATCTACATACACAAAATACCCATGACTCTCAAATATTGTTCTGAAATCTGTCTACGTGTGTTAGTGAGCCCTTTTCCTTTAACAAGATAATCCATCCCACCTCACAGGTGTGGCATATCAAGGGGCTAACTAGACATCATGAATAATGTGCAGGTGTGCCTGAGACTGGGATTGGGATTATCTTGTTAAAGGAAAAGTGCTCACTAACACACAGGTGGACAGATTTCAGAACAATATTTGAAAGTCATGGGTATTTTGTGTTTGTAGATAAAATTCTAGGTGTTTGAGTTCAACTCATGAAAAATGAGAGCAAAAACAGAAGTGTCGCGTTTATATTTTTGTTCAGTATACATTAAAATGATAGGACCAGTAAACATTGGTGGAGACATATCTGTAACCCCGGATTTCCACGGGAGCCGTCAGCAGCACGTTACCGCAGCAGCACGTCTTGCTCGCGTAAACTGCTGCTTGGCCCTTCCCACGAGACGCGAAGGAGCAGGGGAGCAGCTGTCACCAACCGAGCACGAAGTCACACGAGTGACTTCGTCAGTAAACACAACAACAAGCAGGAGAAAACTACAACATGGCTCCAAAATGTTTGTGTTTTATGTTCTGTCCGTTTTATAATCGCCAGTACGGACCTGAAAAACAAAGGAGACCGCTAGCTAGGTGATAACTTCTCACGGGGCCGCACAGTTAGTAACTTTTTTTAAAAGTAAAGCAACCAGAAGGCAGTACGTTCTTTATTCTGAAAATCTCGGGAGCTTCGCTCCATTTCCGCGTCCGATTTCCTGTCTTTCCTTCCCCAAAAATGTCGAACTTGACCCGTTTCAGAGGCGTCGCGCGTAGAAAATAGAACCGGCGCGTAAAGGCCGCGACATGCTGCTCCTGAGACGCGGCCGACTCGCGCTGCTGACGGCTCCAGTGGAAAAGGTTCTGTTGACCACAGCGGTTCCTATCAGCAGCTATGATGTGCTGCTGCAGTAACGTGCTGCTGACGGCTGCTGTGGAAAGCCGGGGTAAGAGACGAGCACTGCACAGTGTTTCCCCTACAATGGCTCAGATGTGGTTACATGCGCTATTACAGAAAGTCCATCACAGCCCAGGTGAGTAATGTGCCCATCAGTTAGACTAGGGGTCTTGTTGCAGGCTTTTGACACTAGTTGGGACTAAAATAGCCTAGTGAGGGAGACCAGCCTCGTTGGGGAAACCTTACATTGACACAAACCATATTGACAATTGCAAAGATGGCAAGCAAGAATATTTTACCTTGTGTTAACCCATCCAGGGACGAGATCAGCTTTCCCTCCCGTCTTGACAGGTACAGGATTTTCTCCGCATAAATGGGTAGCCAAGTTTCAAACAACTTTGATGAAGCATCCCCATGCAGGATAAGAAAGTCCTGTGCAATGTACAAAATAGGAAACTTTTTTTAAACAAATTCAATGTGGCATACTAATAAAAAACAATCATCGTCATCACATGTTATTATTATTTCTCTAAACGTACCATGCCTTTGCTCATTAGGCGAGGGAATTCTTGGAGGATCTGGTAGATGGTCCAATTGTTGTCCCTAATGCACTTGGCCCTGTAGACTGCAGTGTCTTGCATTTAGTCCTGTACCTGACTGAGGGGCTGGCAATTGTTTCTTAACCATTCTTTAAGCTGTGATGCGCATTCGTCAGATATGGTACACTCTGTTAAAAAGAAACACAAGAATTTGATTCTGACACGCAAACACATACATGATGAAAAAATTTGAACACATGTAGATTCCAGTTTTTGGGTGAACTTTTTAAAGGGGTCATCACCTGAAATGTTTACCTTTCTATGTTAAAACATGTATATAATGGTTTGCTAATGATTGTACACTGGCCTAGAAGCCAATATTTAAAAGAGATTATATATAATCTGAATATTTGTGCTGACTATCCACAACAGAATGATAGTAAAAGTACAAGTAACATTTTTAGATCTATTTGCCCTATTTAGAGCTATTTAATAGATCGATTTAAGACATTTTAAATACTTTAAGCGTCTTAATTTTCTTTTCATCTCCTTTACCTAGCCGGGAGCTGTAGCTGCCGAGAGATTTCCCGCTCCTCCCCATCCCCCCACGACTGTTTCATTAGCAATAGCCACAGACTCTACTCATTAGTTCAAATGCAAAGTACAGAAGTTCCACTGGATTTTTTAATGTAAAAAAGTAATCAGAATAGCAGTTTACGTACGACACAGATAAGCTACGGACACTAGAAAAGGCTCAAGACAACCGCTAAATGGCTAGCTAGCTACATTGTTAACCAAACCAACCAATGAGCCTCAACAACATTCAGATACCAACAGGTAACAGGCACAGACGTGACGAGAAATAGATAGTAAACACAAACAATACATACCTCTTATTGTTGATTTACCTCGCAACAACGATGTTTTTCCCCCGCTTAGATCGAAGACAAAATGGATCCTGGCGTTGTCAAGGATGGCTGTAGATGTAATGATGTTCAAACCGGTTCAAACCGGTTCAAACAAGTACAACAACCCAGGTGCTGGGTCAAGTTGCACTAAAATAACCAAAATCTCATTCAAATAACCCAAAATGGGTTACACATTTCATAACCCAGCAGTTGAGTAGATTAAATAACCCAAATGTTGCACAAAAATAACCCAAATCTCATTCAAATAACCCAAAATGGGTTACACATTTCATAACCCAGCAGTTGAGTAGATTAAATAACCCAGCAGTTTTTAGTGAGCACCATCAAGTAGCTCGAGTGTCTGCCTCACCTGTACAGGTACTTCCTGTCTGCCAGCTCGTCTTGTCCTCTCCCTTGGGCGATGTAGTAGATGTTTTTCATCGCCAGTATTTTGCCCCAGAGCAGAACTCGTTGGAACTTGTACTTTTGCTTCAGAATCTCGAAGGACGTCTTCAGAGCGATGATTTTTTCGGTGCTGTACGCCCCCCCTTGACCGGTTACGAAGTTCAGGGAGTAGGTTAATAAGTCAGCATCCATGTTGAACCAGGTTTGGTTGGTTTGATCCTCAAAAAGCCACGTTCTGGTTCTGACTCACAACGGAACCGCAACACACACGCAGCGCTTTTTTCTGTTACTATGGCAACCGAACGCTGCCGTTAGGAAGTCCCGCTTGTGTCGTCACTTTTCACACAAAGTCAAATAAAAAATTACCCAATAAAAAGAAAATCTTATTTTGGGGAGTTATATGCTTAGAAAACTCTTGTTAAAAAAATAAACGGGAACGTCTGACGTAACCCTTCTCTCATGGACGTAATTTTGGGGGGGACAGGGGGGACATGTCCCCCCCCCTACTTTTTCCAAAGTCAAGTTTTGACCCCTGCACTTTTTACCATCCAAAAACAATATTACGCTATATTAAATTGACACTGGTTGAGCTCTAGGACCAAGCGGAAAACAATCGTTTGTGTTGAAGCCTGTTTCCCATTAGAACATACTGTAAAGATACCCCCCCACCCCTGTGTCCCCCTCACTTCTAAAGTGAAAATTACGTCCATGCGGCTTCTCTGGTGTACGTACGTGCGTCCCAGCGGCAGACCACAGAGCGCGTAGATGGCCAGATGTCTGTTTGGTCCAGAAGGAGAGATCCGATGACTGCTCTGATGTAACATCTGTGATTCAGTCAACATCTCTTGACTCTCAGGGAAATGATAGCCGGCGCGTTTACTGGGAAAATGCAGTTGAAACCAGTAAAGTTGCTGAACCCAATTTAGCCCCAGCAGGACCAGTTAATGTTCATGATTGTGATCTGAATCCAGCTGTGTTTTGAAATGCACCTGATTGCACCAATGTTGTTAATGTTCTAGTAAATTACTCATCCATGTTGAAAACTCCACTTTCCTACTTTTCCCAAATTCTCACATTTTCCATAACATTTCCAGCTTTATCGTTTAGAGTTTGGGACAATTATTTACCAAATTTGTAATCAAAATTCCATTGAATGAAATAAACATTGGGCAAAAATAAAAATAGGTTATTTTTCATATTATGACAACTTTTTTCCATATTTCAGTCTTTTCAAAACTACAATTTTCATTCATTTTATTTTGTGGATCATTTTTCAGGAGAGAGCATGCTAACTATGCGCAGAAAGGCAGCAGCTGGGATTCGAACCTACGACCTTCTCACTTTGAGGCCACAATTCCACCATGCAGCCCGTAAGATCTTGTGTAGGTATAAACAATCCACTGAAGTTTGAAAATCTTTGCATATAATTTGTTCATTCTGTTCATACCAACCTCTGTACATTTTATATCTCTTATCTTATTGTTTACTTTATTCATTTCTTAAATATGTATGTACGCATTATACACACACTCACACGCACACACGTAGAAAAATAAAAAAATAAAATACTTAGCACACACATTTAGGAATGTATATACCTTAAATACTATATATGTTATTACTTAGATTAGCCATTTTTATATTTTGCTTGTTTTTACATTATTGTATTTTGCACAACTGTTGCTGTGAAGCTCGCACACAAGAATTTCACTCACATGTACTGTACCAGTGTACCTGCACATGTGACGTGACAATAAAAGCGATTTGATTTGATTTCTAGGCTACTGTAGGAACACAAAGATGCTACATAAACAATTCCCGTACGATCACTCATAAAAACAACGTATTTATGACAATTATATTTGTGCATAAAAAATACCCAAAGCATGACCTGAGTTTTAAACACTCTGTCAGCACGACAGCACGCCAGTAACATGTTTCAAACATGCCTTGCAGATCTCGAGCCTATTGCACATCTGCAAAGCAGGAGCAAGTCTGATCTATGGAGGCCCCATGCTGAAGCCCAAAAGACCCAAAGCACGAACTGAGAATGTTCCGGTGCCAAACGCCACAGGAGACCTGCTTTGATCCTGACTGGTTACGGCTTTTTTAGTGATGCAAAGGGGCTTTATGTTACAAAAACATGGAATGTCAGTGTTGCAGGTGATTTACACACGGTGGAACATTTGAAAAGTAGCTTTGCTTTCGTAATTGTTTACATATATGTTAAAGTTCATTTGCAAGGACTTATGGAACTTGGAAAAAGAGAAAGAAGGCAGAATATAGATCTTTTCCTGTCAAGAAACATAGATTAAAAAATCTGGTATAATTCATAGAATATCTTTGTAATTTTTCTGATTTAAAACAAGAAATTAAGTTGTTAGAGGAGTTCAGAGTGTAGCTTTTGTGTTGGACTCAGACACTCCTTTTCTTTCATCCATGAAGTTAATAAAAAAAAGAGATTTAGCGAGGAAAGGGCCAAAGGGTGTTTGGTTTCTGGCTGTTTGTGAGTGACAGAAAGATAAAAATGCTAAAGGAACATATGGCAGGATGTGCAGATTCCTTTCAGTTTAAGACAAATAGGATGTATGCCTGTTAGGACTGATAATATCACTGATAGCACAAGTTATGGCAGTCAGTGTGTGCATGTTAATATATTTTAGCGTTGTTTAAGCATGAATGTGTCGTCTGGTTTTGGTTTTAAACTAAATGTGTGCATTTAGTTGTGTTACCAGAGTTAGGCTGTGAATAGTGTGGGCTGTTGTAATGGTGATTTGCCTCCGTTTCAACCCCTGAGCGAAGGTGACTTAGTAAAAAGTAGGAATTTTGAGATCAGGTTTTTTTTCTGCGAGGTGTGACCAAACTTTGGAAATTCCCAGTGGTCACATCGTCACCCTGCAATAGCTTTTCCAAAGTTTAACAAGAACAATGTTTCTTCTCTCTTTCTCTCCTATTGTGTGTATTATTAAATAATTTCCTTTTAACCAAATGAACCTACATTTTTATTTGGAATAATGCTCTGTTGCCATTTATTTTAGCTAACAGCTGTTCTAAACACAGCCAAAACCAACATATCGCTGCCATCTTACATGAACATATCTCCCAAATTTCACAAACTTTCTCCATCATTTTGCCATCCTATGCTTATAATACAACATCCTGAAGGAATGCGCTGCACTTGCTTAGCAACTTCGGTTTTGTTGAATGTAAGCTCAATCTGTAATTTGAAGCTGTTCAGTGAACTGTTTACAATATTTCTATAACATTTACATAGAAAAATAAGCCAAATTGACCCAAAAAAATGCCCTTTATTGTTATAATGCCAAATGTATTTTACATTTCTAAAATTGTAAAAGCTCTTGAATAGGATTAGTACATTCAGTCATCGGTTAGGTAGATTGCAGGCTTGTCTTGAGGACATAAAAATTTGGATGACTCTAAACTTTTTGCTTTTAAATCAAGACAAGACGGAAGTTCTCATCTTTGGACCAGAAATCCAGAAAAGGAAACTGCTTAGCCAATCACCTGACCTGAATGGCATTACATTAATCTCCGAGAACAAAGTAAGGAACCTTGGTGTTATCTTTGACCAGGACATGTAATTCAAATCCCAGGTTAAACAGGTTTGTAGGATTTCCTTTTTCCACCTTCGAATATTGCTAAGATTAGAAGCATCCTTTCCACGAGTGATGCTGAAAAACTAGTTCATGCATTTATTTTTTTATTTTTTATTTATTTATTTTTTTAACCGTGTCCTGTCTGGCTGTGAAGCAAACAGAATTGATGTCTGAATGCTGGTGACAAGCCTTACAGATTTACTCTCAGGTGGAGCATCAAAGCGTCTGCTTTTAATGTCACGCCTGATACTTAAAACTTTATTGTTATTGTTTTTAAATGCTTTGTAATTCCGACCAGACACGGAGTTAGAGGTGAAAAAGAAAGGAAAAGACAAAAGGTGGGGTTCCACAAAAATAAACAATAATGGACAAGAGTCTGCTTCTAGACCTGCAGAAAGAGAAGAGCAGAAAATAAAGGGACACACAACAATACATCAGGAGCAAACTATCACTGCGTCAACGTGATGATGAAATATAAAATCAACATTGTTTAACTGAACAATCACACGATAATAAATCACAGTTCATTTAGTGGCAACGACAGCCTTGATACAAGTGTTGAACGTGCCCAAGCCCATACTTTTGAGAGCACCATGTGAGCACCTGTGTGTGTACACGTGCTTGTTTATGTAAGGTTTCTCTATAGGAGCGTCCAACAGAGAGTGTGAGGGACCACAGATCTGCCCCCAAAGATGCGCAGGAGACGGGGGGAGCTCCAAGTCCCAGAGATCCAGGCGCTGCCCCAGAACACAGGAACCCCAAGGGGACTGCAACCAGAAAGCCCTGAAGATCACGGGCAGCCATTGTGAATGTGCCAAAACCGGGGTGATGGGACTGTCTGTTGGAGTTTGCCAAAAATCTAGCGGCAGCGTTCTGCGCAATCTGCAGCCGGTTCATAGCTGAAGCAGGAGCGCCAATGAACAGTGAACTTGCCTGGTCCAAATGAGAGGTAATAAAATCATTTTTCACAAACTCCATGTGTGAACGTTTCAGTACTGGGTTCAGGCGTGTCAAACGGCACAGTTGAAAAAATAATTTAAAGAACCCATGGTGTAATAACTGCATTTAGTGACACATTGAGGTCAGTACATGGAAAACTTGGAACAGGCGATGTGGGTGAAGGTTTCTAGGCTCAAAAAGAATCGACTCAATCTTTGACTCATTCGTACTTAGGAAGTTTGCAGCTAACCAGGGGCGGCGTTAGGCCCGGCTACTTGGGCTGAAGACCCGGATGTTTCATGGAAAGCCCCGGATCTAAATCGTGGAAGTAACATGCAGTACCAAAGTCCAACAGAGAGGGCGCAGCTGGCAGTACTTTGTATACAGCCTGCCTGAGCCTCCACCACTGAAGAAGAAGCCCTTCAGCAGCCGGCTTCTTCTGCACTCTCTGCCTGAAACGCATGAGTGAAGATGGACATAAGGACGTTTTTTAGACCAAAAGTACGGCGACAGAACCCCAGCTTTGATGAGACTGGTGTTGACTCAGGTTTGTGAGTCTTATTTGAAAATATTTGTGGTGCTGCTGGTTTGCCTAAAGTTAGCTTACTATCAGGTAAAGTTGTTGGAGAAAGAAAGGGAATATTTACTATCATCTCACACTAAACACTAACAGGAACAGTACTCTGCCCTGAATATGCTTAATATGTAGCTTCAGATTAAACATTATGTGGTACAAGACAAATATATATGATGTTGACTAGCGTGTCACGTGTGTGTGTGCGTGTGTGTTAAGCCCCGGATCTTCTTCAATCCTAAATCCGCCCCTGAAGCTAACCATTCCTTTACATCGGAGAGAACATTACAACTTGGACGTCCGCGTCTTTTATTGCCAAGTAGATCTGACAATAATCAGCACCAATGTGAAAAGTGATGCCGTGTACAGTTAAAGTACAGCAGGTGGTAAGTCACTCACGTACTCTTTATCTTCCCAGCGTATTTCTCACCAGGGTCCAGGGAGAGTTGTTGCTGTCTGTGTCCACCGGTCATCAGATGAGATAAGGGCAGAAATGTCGTAACCCAAATGTGAACCTGTAACCCTCTGGCTGTGAGGCCACAGCACTACCAGTGGCACCACTATGCAGCTCTTCAAGAGACAAATGGTAATAACATCATATGAAATAATGCAGTATTCTTAATCAGTCACAATGATCGTATAAATATTGTTTTATCAAAGTATTTACATTTATAAACACAGTTCCCATCATTTCTTGTTTTAGACTTTAAAGGGTTAAGAGTGACACAACTCAATAGGAAGCTATAGAAGCTATACATTCAGATGTGCTGGAACCCTCTGAGCCGTTTATGGAGCCATTTAAAACACACTGACTGAACAACAGTCGTTGAGCTTATTGTGGCTCGAATCCAGCAGCTTCAACCAACAGAGGCAGCGTGAAGATGGCTTGAGTTTCACTAAGAACAACATGCCTGGCTGCTGTCCAAAGAATGATTCAGGACCATCTACACATGTATGGAGCTAATCTTGTCCAGGATGGTCCCATTATACCGCTCCTGGAGCTTTCCAACATTTTAATTTCTGCCGATGAATCTAAAGCCCCTGAAGTCCAAGTGTAGGCTGGTTTGGGAAATCGGAACATCTGTTACATACATGACTACAAAACAAGTAAATAAAAACGTGTTTTCTTCTTTGCAACATGTGTTTCCTTAAGTTTTGTCATAAAAGTTCTCAACTATAGAAATAAAATTTCCTTGCATTATTCCCAGAATTACAACTTTCCATTATTCACGCACTCTCACATTCTCACACTGCCGGTGATGGCAAGCTACTATATAGCCACCGCTGCCCTCGGGAAGTCTGACAGAGGCAAGGCTGACATTTCACGCCATCGGCCCCTTTGACCACCACCAGCACACACAAGTCAGGTGAAGTGTCTTGCCCAAGGACACAACAGCAAAATACTACTGGTTGGAGCTGGAGTCGAACCCACGACCCTCTGATCATGAGATCTACCTCCCGAGCCTCCAAGTATTGGCCTAGCCCAGAAATCTAGACAAACTGTAGCTGCAGCAAAAGATTTTGCTCTGCAGGTTGCTCTACGCCAGATGTAGGCGACCGTGGTCCTAGAGAGCCGTTATCCAGCATGTTTTAGTTGTTTCCCTGCTTCAGCATAGTTCATCAACCTGTTCAGCAGCTCTTGAAGTTCTGCAGAAGCCCATGTTGATGTATAGAAACCTCAAAAACACGCTGGATCGTGACTCTCTAGGACAGGAATTGCTTACCACTGGACGCATGCTGCATCGTTGCTTCAGCAGGTCTACCATTGGCACAAACAATTGGTAGAGTGATGTGGGCGGGCCTAGCACCAGAGCCGAGATGGAAAAAAAACTACAAAGATGGTGTCAGCTTAAAATGGTCGTCGTTCAAAACAGGTTTGGATAATTACTTTGGACGATTTGTCCTTGAGCTTTTCTTTGAGATGTGAGCAGATAGAGGTACTGTCGAAGGTATACTGCCTCATTGACTGATTTCCATAGTGATGAATGTGTCTTGTTATTCATTGCTCTGATTGGTTTGGTATCCAACTCTGTGCAGAGACAGTTTGAAAGACAACTCTATTCCACCACATAACGGTGTAACGTCCAGAAATGGTCAGTTTTTTGGTAGTTTGACCGTTCAACATCTGGTCAACATCGGGTCAAAAAGGAGACACGAGACTGCATGTGTTCCCTTTAAATTGGCCTGCCTTCATCCCATCAGCTGGAGCTCAGAGCCTCTGCAGCTCTGAACACATGATAACGAACTGTCAACAAGAAGGTTCTCTCCTCAAGGTCCATCCTTATCGCCCTACAGGATTCTTCATGCCTAACACTCGCAGCTCGGATCAGCTGCCAAATCAAAGAATGATTTCCTAAATTAAATATGAACTTCTAAAACTTATAAGCCAGATAATCATTAAATAAACATTTGTTTATTGCTACTTATAATAATTATAATATAATGACATGTTTCATTAATCTGTGCTCAATGATTGAAGTTTGAAATGACTGTTATGTTATGATTACAGTGATTGAAATATGTTTCAGCATGTTTATATGACGAGGTCATCACCATTTGCACTCACACAAGAACAAAGTAAGGTTAAGTTAAACACATGACACATAAATAGCCTTTACAGTAATCCCTCGTTTATCGCGGTAGATGCGTTCCAGACCTGGCTGCGATAGGTGAAAATCCGCGAAGTAGGGACTCCCAGCATGCCCCTCGTGGGGATTC